ATGTATAAACTGGGGAACACATACATTCCTACACTTTGAAAATAAACATACATGTGAAGTTAATAAAGATAAATTGGCCATTTCAAATAAACACATTTGTACTTAAGTAAACATAAATAAACCATCCTAATTATCTCGGTGCTGATCGAGTGCTTTTATAAAATGACAAAAGCCCGCATCTCCAATCACCAAAAGCGGCTGCAAATCTTTAGTAATAAACACCCGCACTGCCTTTGTTATTTTTATGAGTCTCTCGGAACGAGCTGTATATGTTTGCTTGAAAGATTCAGTGAGGGATTGTTGCTGTTTGGAGGACTTCATTACCTTCTCTGCTTTCCTGCCTTCAGACAGTGATATTGCTGGGTGATGGCGCTGCAGATGTGCAGTCATGGTTGTACGTGTAAACCAATGCTTGCACACAGTTATTTTTTGTTCACCGTTTTTTCTTTTATTGGCATTATGCTTACCGGCAAAACCGAAATGTCCTCACACCGCAGATTTGAAAGATGCCGGCACTTTCTCGTACTGTTGCCTCATTTCGCCGGCGCTTCCTTGTACTACTCATGGGCGTAAATCCCATCCGAGGGTTTATTTTTATGATGGTTTTGCATTCTTTATGTAAAGCACTTTGAATTGCCATTGTGTATAAAATGTGCTACAGCATAAATAAACTTGCCTGGCAGTGTCATGTATTGCAGAGGTTCTCAAAGTGGGGGTCGGGACCCCCCGAGGGATCGCGGGACAATGAAGGGGGGTCGCCTGGTGATTTTTTTAAAAATCAATTAATTTTTATTAAACCTTAAGACTTACTGTATTTTATCAATAACCTACTGATGAGAAAAAATAGTTGTTTATAGTTACTATAAACTATATAGTTACTAAAGTAGCTTTTAGTTACTAGTTCTATTGGATTGCGACTTCTCGGGTAATTACATTATACTAAAGACACAGCAATACTGTCAGATGCAGCAGATTTTGTAACACCAGGTTAAACTTTCTAGCCCATTTACAGCACTGACATACATAAAAAAAACAAAGGATAGACTTGGGTCTATTGGTGTGTGTGTGCGTGCCATTGCATACAAGGTTTCTGTATTTATAACCACCACCTCAGAGAATATTGGGGGTCACGAGTCACTGGCATTCTCATTTTAGGGGTCGCGGGCTGAAAAGTTTGGGAACCCCTGATGTATTGGATAAAATGACAGAGAAAATGGACGTAATAATTTTTCAGTGCAGCTAAACGCCAAGTACAAAAACTTCACATATTAAGCAATTTGGCTTTCAGAATGAGTGCTTATGAAAATACTAATGTCACATTATTAATCACAGGCAAAGGAGAAAGAAATGACTGAGGAACAGGCAGAGCAGGGTCAGTCAGATGTACAGTGTCAGGTAAGGGTGTTGTAGTTTATTGAAGGGAAAATGACAATTCTTTTGGGGGGTGAACAATTTTTTATGTTTTCTGAGTTGTGGCTGTTTAGCAGATTTCACAGGCTTACTGATTTACAATATGATTGGTTATTTTAACGTTTTAAAGTTAGTCATTATGAGTATGGAAAATGTCTTTTCCTGCATTTACTAATAATTTTGATTTTAACTGTATATATACTTTTGTTAAATTATCTTTAATAATCTTTTTTTTGTGTGTAAAAAATGGTACTTTCATCCTATGGAGTTAGTTTCTTTAGAGTTGTTGGAGATTAGTTTCTTTAATATTTAATCAAAAGTAGTTTAAAGAAAAATTAAGTATGTAATTAAAAAAATAAAAGGTTTCAAATAAAAAACACGTGTAGTTAAAAATTTTTTAAAAAAATTAAAGAACTCCCCCTTAAAATATTAATAATTGTGTTGTTTCAGCTCATTTGAACTAGGTTTCACCAAAATATTGAAATGCTTTTCTACGGTGTTTGCGTGGGCTTGTATTGTAAAAATAACCAAAATGTCTCTGTCAATCTTTTCAAACAATTATGTTTGATTTACCATAGTCACACAAGTGACTATTTCACATCTGTCACATACATAATGAAGCTTTTTCATCAATAATGCAAAGATAAAGAGATTGTATTCACAGAAATTCTACAATGCACAGCACCAATCGAAGATGATCATACCTCTTAAAAATAATTACTTTATTTGTCATACAGCCTGAAATCAAACTCCATTCAAATAATGAAATGTTTTATAGCCTTCTCCTAAACTGTACCATTCTACAACTTTATCCTGAAGGTCTTCTGAAAGCAGGGTGTAAAATAAGTAAAGGTATAGATTTTCACAGGGTATGATAATTTTCTATAGGCACCGTGTAAACTCGCTAACTTTTTTGGTCACATCCCTGACGCATGTTTATTTTCCTTGTTTAAAATCTAAAATTTAGTTATAGATTGATGCTTTTTTGATCCCATAACTCTTGTTAGTTTTGTGAACACAATACTTTCTCTGAGAATTTACGTTTTGAGTTTTAATCACACATCCAAAACGCAGGAATTGCTTCAATGTCATGAGTGTTTTGTACAGTGATGTTGTTAATATCAGGTAGTGTTACCTTGCCCTTTAAGTTTCTGCACCAGTCCAGCGGCTCGAATGAGGTCTGCTCCTTCCTGCACACCATCCTTCTGCTGCAGTGACAGACAGTCATGAACATGAGCTCCACTACTGCAGCAGACATATTCATTTCTCACACAGTTCACCTCAGTGTTTTATTTCCCGTCAGTGTGCTTTATCACTCACCTGTCCTTTGGAGAACGGAGCGCCTATTATTCCCACAGAGTACCGCTGATGATGGAGGTGTCTCCTGAATATGTGAAGAGCTGCTCGTGATCCGCTAAGGCTCTTCATCTTCATCATCACTGTAGTGATACTAATTCATCCGGCAGCAGTGAGTCTGGAATAAGCGGCTCTACAATCAAAGCAGATTACAGGAGCCGTGACGACACGCTGGCCGGTGACGCGCATTGGGCTGCTCTGGGTTTTCCTCTCTGGTGTGAAAAGTCGCTAAATGAGCAAGAGCTGATCTGAGGTCGGCAAATTTCCCATTCGAATTGGTTCATAATGATAATAAGCGCATGTGAAGAGTACACTTTACTTGGGTATCAAGAAAATAATTTAAAGCTGTTCATTCGTTCACATCATTGCTTTCGAGTAAGTTTTTGTAAGTATAACATTTTAAAATGTATTCCTCGTAATAATTTGGGGAAAAAAGATGAACTATGGCATCTCAGATGAATTTTGAACTATTCAAATCTCTAATAAATATAATAATAAATCAAAACATACATTATTACATTCGGTGGCCACTTTATTAGGTACATTTTAATAGAACTGGGTTGGACCTCCTTTGGCCTTCAGAACTGCCCATGGCACAGATTCAACAAGGTACTGGAAATATTCCTCAGAGATTTTGCTCCATATTGACATGATAGCATCACGTAGTAGCAGCAGATTTGTCGGCAGCACATCTATGATGCGAATCTCCTGTACCACCAAACCAGTCTAAGATGATTCAAGCTTTATTACATGGCATGTTATCCTGCTGGAAGTAGCCATCAGAAGATGAGTACACTGTGGTCATAATGGAATGGACATGGTCAGCAACAATACTCAGGTAGGCTGTGGCGTTGACATGATGCTCAATTGGTACTAATGGGGCCAAAGTGTGCCAAGAAAATCTCCCCCCACAGCATTACACCAACACCACCAGCCTGAACCGTTGATACAAGAATTTATGTTTAACGGACAGTTTTTTTTTTTTCACCACACTTTTCAACTGAATAGTTTTAATAACTCATTTCTAATAACTGATTTAATCTTCACCATGATGACAGTAAATAACATTTGACTAGATATTTTTCAAGACACTTCTATACAGCTTAAAGTGACATTTAAAGGCTTAACAAGATTATTTAGGTTAACTGGGCAGGTTAGGGTAATTAGGCAAGTTATTGTAAAACAATGGTTTGTTCTGTAGACTATCGAAAAGTGTAGCTTAAAGAGGCTAATAATTTTGGCCTTAAAAAATTAAAAACTGCTTTTATTCTAGCTGAAATAAAACATAAGACATGTATTTCTCCAGAAGAAAAAAAATATTATTAGACATACTATTAAAATGACCTTGCTCTGTTAAACATCATTTGGGAAATATAAAAAATTATATATCAAAAAATCAAAATGGAGCTAACAATTTTGACTTATATACATGCAATTTGTTAACACTTTAGAATAATGACCCATTAGGTAATGTTTTATTAATGTATTTACTAACACAAACAATTAGTAATACATTTATTATATCATTTAACTGTTAACATTTAATGTTAATTATCATGTTTACTCACACAGCATTAACTCATGTTAACAAGCACAACTTTGGATTTTATCAAGCATTATAGTTATTGTTGAACTATGATTAAGAAATGCCTTACAAGATTATTCATCCTTTGTTAGTATATGTTAGCAAATATTTGTATTGAGTTTATGTATTATTATTTTTACTGTTAAAAAGCTAAACCTTTGTAAACCTGACTGTTAATATTGTTTAAAAATACTCCCTACTAAATAATTACTTATTAATTAATGTATTAATTACTATTATTACTTATAAACGATGCAGTAACTCCAGTTTATGTATGCTACACTAATATTTCTGTTCAATTGACATGTTTTACATAAAGGCACAAATCCAGTTATTTTACTTTTATTCAAATTAACCAATTACATTTTTTTAGTTACACGTTTGTAAAAAACATTAGCAATTAAAATACAAAAAAATAGTAAGTGTTGTCATGTCTTTGAATATGCTACGAAACAGCAAAGCATTGAACTATGAATATTAATTAATGCTGTTCAAGTATTGTTCATAATTAGTTTATGTTAATAAAAATACATGAACTGATGACACCTTATTGTAAAGTGTGACCAAACAGTTGATACATGCCTAAGGCTGAACCTGAACTTGCATGCCACCCATTTGCTTTCTCCAATTAATCAAACACAAAAGCAACTTTCCCCCAGATTAATCTTTTTATGATATGCAGTTTCCACAGAAATACATCAGTGTGCATTACAAAACATCATTCAATGCCATAAAACATTTTTTAAAAACATCAGACACATATACTCATCCCATGCGTCGCTTTCATATAAAGGGCGGGGCATCCAGTCATTTTCTTCATATACATATGCATAGACACATAGGTAGGCATGACTGGTCAAGCTGCCAATCAATCAAATGTTCGGATGTGCAGGAGAAGATGGTGGACAGACTGACGTATGTTTCAGCATGACAGCTCATCAGTTATGTAAGGATAACAAATACACTGTAGTTGCCTCAGGTGCCATTAAAAGTAGCTCTGCAGCGGTTCACCGAGGATAGTCTCCATTTCTTGAATGACCTTCTGAACCTGGTGCTCAACTTCTTCGCATTCATCTGTAAATCAAAGAAAGAGCTTAATGAGCAAAGTTTGCAGGGACAAACTTTTATGTTGGCTTGTCACAGCCATAAGTGCTTCAAGTTTAAAGTAGGGTAGTGTTCAGAGTGGCTGCTCATGTGTTCATGTTTTTATCACATTGCTAACATGAATTAGCATGCTGCTACTCTTATAGAATGACTTACCACACCTCTAGCATGGATTAGGATGTTGCTAACATGAACTTGTTAATGATACGATTACCTTGATGCTAAATTAGTAATAATAATAAGCATCATGCTAATGTTGCTAATGAAGGATGTGCTAACATTAACAAGTTAGTAGATTTCAAGCATAACATGCTGTTAGTATGCGCTAACCTATTTCTAACATGTTAGTAACGTGTTAATATGATTTAACAGCAGGTCTAAAGCATGCTTAGCATCCTGTTATGATCATTTAGCATGTTTTTAGTATGAATTAACATGTTATTAGCACATTTCTGACATAGTTATCATTTTTATAATGAGTTAGCATGTTGCTAACATGAATTAATGCACATACATTTATTTGTATTTTGCTAGCATGCTTCTAACACGGTTACCATATTGTTAAAATTAATTAACATGCTTTGTCATGTCATAAGCTAGCTAGTAGGCTTCGCAAGTGCTATAGCTCGGTAACTGGACTGGGTGGAAATATTAAGATTTAATGTCTGAATGTTTTGACAAAACCCTCAAGTCTGATCTGTAGGAAAAGACATAGAAATTCAGATCAGAGCGCTTATGAACTTGAATTCAGAAGATCAGAATGCTGCCTCTCAAAGCAACCACAAAAACACTGAATTCCTGAGTAATGAAAGCAAACCAAGACTCACGGCAGAAACAGAGATGACAATAGGTAACACTGTGTACTTTGGTTACAGAATCATGATGGGTGTCCATTTGTTGAAATAAAACTGGTGTAGTGTTCTTACCCTCCATGAGCTCGGCCAGGAATGGGATGGTCTCTGGCAGAAGAACCATGTAGTTCTCCCTCAGCTTGCCTGCCAACTCCAGCAACATGACAAGCGCAGAGAAACGAACCTGAACAAAGTTTTGAGAAAATGTTTTTGCATTTTAGACTATAATGCATGTACTATACACTTTACACAATGTACGATAGAGCACCATTGGGATGTGGTGGAATGGGAAATTTGCATCATGGATGTGCAGCCGACAAATCTACAGCAACTGCGTGATGCTATCATGTCAATATCTCTGAGGAATATTTCCAGTACCTTGATTAATCTATGCCATGAAGGAATAAGGCAGTTCTGAAAGCAAAATTTGGTCAAACCCAGTACTAGTAAGATGTACCTAATAAAGTGGCTAGTGAGTGTATATCAGCCTGCTATATGTGTTAAAGCGGGGGAAAACACGAGATTAACAGCATTATTATGATGGACTCATTCTGTAGCGAACTGGAGTTTATGTGACTTTAATGAAAAAAGTTCCTTTGTCCAACTTTTTTTTTTTTTGCTGTCGCCATCCTCACTTGTGTGTGTCACACACCTCACACATCTTATACTTGCACAGGAAGTTCCCTTGCGTAGTTTTGGTGCTGTTACATCTGAATGCAGATACAGCCTCTCACATGAAAGCAAGGTAAGGCGCAGCCAATCAGAATGTACATATGTGTTTGTGGGCGCTATGACTCGAGGACAGAACGTGATTTAACCCCTTTTGCACGTCTGGGTTATTATTGACAGCATGACTTTTTTTTTTTAAGTGAATTAAATTAATGGTGGAGAAATTTCAATAGCTGCTGGATATTGGTGGGGATGCGTCCCTCTCCGTCCATGCTAAATCTACTCCCCTGGTGCATATTATAATAAGACCTAAACACAAACTGCCTGCTGAGATGTAGCTTAATGGCCTGTTTCCACTGAGTGGTGTGGTATGGTTCGGTTCGCTTTTATGGCTGTTTCTACTGGCAAAAGGGACCTAAAAGCGAACCGTACTGTGCCACTTTTTGGGTACCAAAAGGCGGAGCTAGTTGCGCAGCTGAACGCTATTGGTTTACAGAGAAACGTCTGCCACAATGAAAACAAAGAAACCGCTATGTTTTAAATAAACAACCTAGACATTACACTGCAATATATACATATAATAACAAGCAATGGTCAACCTGAGCTCAAACAAACCTTGTCGTTGTCTTAATAGACAGCCACAGCCAAGAAGAACAAAATCTGTCGTGCCCTATTTTTGTTTTACTAAAATTGTGAGCGGTTTCACTTTCTCGAAAGAGCTTGTGTGTGGGAGTCTATATTTGAAATAACGAACTTCTTGAGCTGATGATAATAACGTGCGCACAATTATTGAAGTGCTTCTGGCATTCGATCCTTTCAGAAAACAAAGGAGGAGCCGGAAAAAAACAACGGCGCAAATGATTCTTTCAGCAACATAAAACATTAACATGGTTATCTATCATCACCACCTTTTGGACTATTATGAACTGGGAATGACGGAATGACTCTATAACAGAGCTTACATGTACACAGATGAGAGGTTTGCTCTGACTGGGCTGTATGTTGCTGTTGTTTATGAACATAAATAAGGACTAAATGTCTGCTGTGTGTAGTTTTTCTGTAATTGATAACATATTGGTGACTGTAAGGGGCTGTATGTGTTCATATATGTTGCATTTATTTATTTATTTTATATAATTTCAGACGTCACAGTAGGCTATTTCGTACTGTCACTGATCTGCAGATATAATCGAATTATATTCATAGAAAGGTTAGTAATAAACATTTATACACAAGTATTTATGTGTATAAAGCATCTGTTTTGTGAGAAGAGCTGCTCGTATGATATGTGAGCGACCCATGCAAGTTTTTGAAATATGTAACGGACAGCAACTGGAGAGTTTGACTGCTTCAATATATCAGGGTTTCCATACCTTAACTTCAAATTCAAAGACTTTCAAAATCAAACACCCTTAAACTCAAGGACTGAAACCGTGGACACATTTTAAGTGAGAAGCAGGACACAGTTATAATTTGCATGTGTCAAACACAACTATGCAACAAAATTCAATATCTAAATGATCGTTTGACCGTAGAAGAAATCTCATATTCTATTTGACAAATTTCTGTTTAGCATAAAACAACAGCTGGCTTTCATTGCGTTATTCAGTATGTAATGACTTGACAAGTTGACCGAAATACTTCATTTTTTTCAAAAAGAAATCAGCATTGTTCTTATGTTCACTTCAATATCAAGTTAGATAATTGAGAATGTGCATACCTTTGGTGAACTGTGTCGTGTCTTGAGCAGAATCTGATAATTGAGAACTTTCCACTGCGAGTCGTCTCTCATGGCAACAGCAAACTGAGCAATGCAAGGCACCAAGTGTGTGGTAATGCGGCTCTTGTAGGTCTCCTCTCCTCCTAGTATGTTCTCCAACTTCAGAAATCAAACACACATGAAACTAATTTATGACAGGAAAAAAAGGTCTTTACACCATTTTCAAAACACCAAGTTTTGATCTAAGAACTAAAAAAGTGAAAATGTTTTTGTTAAAATTAAAAATATTAACAAATAAGGCTGTATTTAAAAAAAATCTTTAACCTGATGCCATAAAGTCAGAGTATTTTTTTTTTCAAAGACTTAAAGGTGCAGTAGGTGATTGTCTTTAGAAACATTTGTTGTTGTGCTGGTTGAAAGTCTCTTCACATTCCAATAGTAATGATTAAAGTAAATGATCTAAATGTATTTTTATATTTTGGGTAAGGCATAAAACTAAAAAATGTTCATCAAATTAAAAAGAGTCGGGCCGACATTTCTAATAATTCTGATAAGTAGCTCAAACTGTCAATCAGCAAATGCAGATTTGAACAACTGTATATAGACGTGCTGCCTATTCACGAGAGAGAGAGAGAGAGAGAGAGAGAGAGAGAGAAAGAGAGAGCATACGTGCGATCGGCAAAAACATGCTGAATCAACACTTTTCAAAAACCAGACTCAATATTGGAGTTACCTTTGCACGCTGTAGAAAGGATGACACCATGTCTGAAGGATTTCTCTTAGACAGGTAATGTTATGTTTTAAAACTATTTTGGCTTCATGCAAAGCTGATGTACCGTTAGATGTTGTTGTTACAAATGGGTTATATCTTCACAGAAGTGTTGTTCAGTCACTAAAATCTTCAGATTAAAGATTGATAAGACTATTTTCAGTTTCATAAGGGACCTTTTACAGCATCGATAATGTAGATTTTAATTAGTTTAACAACAAAACACAAGCAAATAGCGCTATTCCGCCTAGTCTCTACCTATATTGTTAACCATGCAACTCTTAATATTCACTCTGAAATCGCATGTCAGTTTGGCTTGCACACCGCCGGACAAGCACTAGTCGTTTTTATAACATGAGAGAGGGTTCTTTTGCTGTGCTCGTGTTTAAGGAGGCGTGGCTCTGGACGGCAGGGGAGGGACTGTGATTTAGAGATTTATGCTAAGCTGTTAAAATTGTGGAAGATCAACTACTGCAACTTTAAAGGCACAATATGTAAGTATTTTTCTTTAATTGACTCTAAATTGTATGATTGTCCAATTGTGCGTTTTTCCCCCCACAATTGATTAATTAACATGCATTGGACTCATTGAAAAGTTTCTGTGCGGGACAGATTTTTAGGATACAAATATGAAGATAAAACTTTATACTTCAGGGTGCAAAAACCTTTAATCTGCCTCATACTACCATGATAATAAGTTCTGAATACTTTAGCTAAACCATAAACATGAACAAGAGACCTGTATGATTTTATGAAGACCACAACTCCCATGATTCCATGCTCAGACACAGCATACTTATAATACACCTTTGTTTGTGGTGAATATGCGCCCTCTAGTGACAAAAATGATATAGTATCCAAATAATCTTCCACACTATGACAGATGTGATCAAATATCAATGGTTACAGCTTTCTACAAAATATCTTCGAAAGTCGAACAGTTTTGAATCAAATAAAGATTAAGTAAATGAGTACTTTCATTCTTAGGTGAAGCATCTCTTTAATTGTTTAACGACTGAAATCTGGTGTTTGATTAGGCAGAAACCCAAAATATGTACTTTTGGTGCGCTATCAGGAACAGCACTGAGAAACATTTGTAGAAAAATACCACATCACACTCCCAGGGAATAACAGCATCTAGATCAGTGTTTTTTTTAACTTCGTTCCAGGAGGACCACCAGCTCTGCACATTTTCCATGTCTCCTTAACCAAACACACCTGATTCAGCTCATCAGCTCATTTGCAGAGACTGAAAGACCTGTAATGGGTGTGACAGGCAAAGGCGACATCCAAAACATGCAGTGTTGGTGGTCCTCCAGGAAAGTGGTTGAGAAACATGGATCTAGATGTTTTATACTTTAAGCTGAAAGCTGCTTTAATTAAAAAGCTAAAAACAACTCTTTCACAGCGAGATGTAAAATGAGAAGTGGACAAATCACTATATATAGATGTATGTATATATATATATATATATATATATATTAGCTACTGCTGCTAATAGATTGATGTTCAGTTTGTGTGTTGCACTGACCTGATCCACCAGAGGACACAAAAGGGCATCAGCTCTTTCCTTACTGAGGAAGTGCTGAGTATCATAGAGGAAGATCTTGTGAAGGCAGTCCAACACATACTGTAGCAAAAGGCTGCTCTTTGTCACATTATCATCAGCCTCCTCATCTGAATCATCATCACTCTCATCCTCGGAGTCAAAGAAGGCTTTGTCTATCGGCAGAAGGTAAGTAAATGTAAGCATTAAAATCTTATTGCTCCTCATCTCCTCTTAGAGGTTAGTTCAGCCAAAAATTTTAATTACTAATTACATTAAGACACCTTTGTTCATCCCAAATTGTGATATTTTAGATAAAATCCAAGAGCTCTCTGACTCTCCATAGTCAGTGACAAATCAGAGAGGTTCAAAATCCAGAAAAGGAACCAAAAGCATAATCAGAAATGTCCATGTCTTCAGTGTTTAAGTGTAATTTTAAGAATTAAAATAACTGTTATTTCAAGAAGCTTCAAGAACACTTTTGTGCACCTAAAAATGACTAATTGAAAATGTAAAACATGTAAAAATGACATCTTTTGCAACAGGTCAGGATGTGTGTTTACTACGGGCAGTATGATGTCAGCATCAAATAGTAGTAGTAAACACATGTAGTAAACACTTGCCCTGACCGGTCGCGAAAGATAAGACATTTTTTTTCCTTCACTTTTTTTAAGGCTCATTTCCACTGACTGGTACAGTACGGTGCGGTTTGGGTCGGTACGGGTCACCTTTATTAGGCTTGCGTTTCCACTACCAAGGGTACACTTTTGGTGAGCGTGGTGTATGACAGACAGTTTCAGTCACATCATTCTCGCTCGAGGAAAAGTCTACAATAAAGCTGTACGGGTCGTTCACATATCATATGAGAAGCACGTCGTCACAAAACAGACGCTTTACATACATAAATACTTGTGTTTAAATGTTTATTACTAACTTTTCTATGAACAAGATTTGATTATAACTGCAGATCAAGTGCAAAAACGTCTGTAATTATATAAAATAAATACATAAATGCAACATATATGAACACATACAGACCCTTACAGTTTCTGATATATTACCAACTACAGAAAAACTACACACAGCAGACATTTCGTCCTTATTTAGGTTCAAAACAACACAAAATATAGCCCACAGTCAGTGAAAACCTCTCATCTGTCTGTAATCTTCAGCAGCACATGTAGCCTCTGTTAGAGAGTTATTCCATCATCCTGAGTTCATTTTAGTCCAAAAGGTGATGATAAAATATAAAACATGGCAGTTTGTTCATGTTTGCTGAAGAAATACTGTGCTCCTTTTTTCCCAGTTTCTCCTTTTTTTTGCGCTTTACTCTCGTGTTTATCAGTGTCTGGCAGAATCGGGTTTTAAAAGCACGTCAATAATCAAGTGCACGTTAATATCATCAGCTCAAGAAGTTTGTTATTTCAGATGTAGACATGCGGCGAGCGCAAGCAAAAATAGCGAGACCGCTCACGCTTCAAACTGGCTCATAAAAAACTACGATTCTGCTCTACTCCATGGCTTTGTGGCTGTTCATCAACACGACAACAAGGTTTGTTTGAGCCCAGATTGACCATGCCTCGGTATTATATGTATATATAATTCCGCTGTAATCTCTAACCGGGCTATTAAAATGCACAAAAGTGTTCTTGGAGCTTTGTATGATTATAGTTGAATGTTTTTGGTTCCTTTTCTGAACTTTTAACGTCTTGGGCATCTTGTTGTCTATAGAGTATCAGAGAGTTCCTGGATTTAATCTAAAATATCTTAATTTGTGTTCTGAAGATGAACGAAAGACTCATGAGTATTTATTAACAGAATTTTCATGTTTTGGTGAACTAATCCTTTAACACGAGCTAGACAAAATTGTTGGCACTCTGATGATACATTAAAGATGTATTTGAAACATCACAGAAACATTCAAACGTGCAGATTTACCTGTGTGGGAAGTGTTGAGCTGATGCAGCAGATCGGAAAAGGGTTTGACCAGCTGGCCAGCAAACAACACAAACAGTCCTTTGAGTTTGTCTGCGATACGATCTGCAAGTCTGTAGAAGGTCAACAGGCGATCTTTAGAAGCACCGTCAATCTTTGACCAGTCAAACAACTGCAGAAGAGAGAAAATATGATGCAGTTAGCATCTACACTGCCTGACAAAAATCTTGTTGTTGATCCCAGTTGTAAGAACAACAAACAATAACTTGACTTCTAGTTGTTCATTTGGAAAAGCGGCAGAAGGTAGATTTTTTTCAGATGAACCATCTGTTGAACTGCATCCCAATCATCACAATACTGCAGAGGATCTATTGGAGCCCGCATGGACCCAACATTCTCACAGAAATCACTTAAAGGTGGGTAAACAGTGAGGGAATTATTATTATTTGGTGAACTACTGTATCCCTTTAAGGCTAAATGATCAACCATTTGTCCAAACGTAAGTGATATTTAAATTCATATAAAGACCACTTCAATGTGGTCAAGTCATTGGCCTATGAACATTTCCTGCTTGCTATCACACTATTTCATAACTGTAACAAGAGGCGATTGAATCATATCTTAATGTTAAAACAGCTATCATGACATTATCATGATGTGGCTCTTTTTAGATTCTAAGAAGCTATTGAAATTAAAAATGTAAACAGGAAATACGATGGGACCATTGTTTTTGTGTACATCCCTCAAAATGGTTTATAACAAGGGGTCACCAATGTCGTTCCTGGAGGTCCAGTGCCCTGCAGGGTTTAGTTCCAACTTGCCTAAACACACCTTCCTGGGTGTTTCAAGTATACCTAAAAAGGCCTTGATTAGCTTGCTCAGGTGTGTTTTATTAGGGTTGGAGGTAAAATCTGCAGGACACCAGCCCATCAGGAGCAAGTTTGGTGACCCCTGGTCTATAACAATCAACACATACAATCTGAAAGACATTTAAATTGCACCAAGGCAATTATATATATAATTTTTTAACGATGCAATTATGTTCATTATAAGTACTTCATGTTTATGTCAAAACACTAACATTTAAATGAATGCCTTTTTATGTAAAAATGGTTTATAGAGCATATATTCAGTGAATGACTTCTCTTGAGCTTTCAAGAGAATATAGTTATAAGTCTATACGTTGCGGTTAAAGCACTGCTTGGAAGATTGCATGAGACAGATGCACTTCAGCAAGTTGCAGTTTTATAGAGCAGGGGTTCCCAAACTTTTCAGCCCGCGACCCCCAAAATTACAATGCCAGTGACTCGCGACGCCCAATATCCTCTTGGGTGGTTATAAATACAGAAACCTTGGATACAATGGCGCACACACACTAATAGACCCAAGTCTATTTTTCGTTTAATTTTTTTTAATGCATGTCAGTGCTGTAAATGGGCCAGAAAATTGAATCTGGTGTTATAAAATCAATCTGCTGCATTTGACGCTATTGCTGTGTCTTTGATATAATGCAATTACCCTAGGGGTGCAATCCAATAGAACTAGTAACTATTGACCTTATTCTAAAAGGAAGAAGTGCGCCTGTTTTCGCGATTGTTTTAGAACTTCTGATTCCGTTGCCTATGGGAGAAATTACTAGGAATAATAAACGGCAGAAAACGGTCAAACTACTTGCTGTACAAACAAATGTTTTCATTACTATACAGACCAAGTAGAAGAATATAATAAAACAATATCAGTTTGCAACATCAAACAGCAAAACGAGCTGCTTTTAATGTCTAAAAATGAATAGAAGTGAATGAGACCGGAAGTCTCGAGCCAAAAAGATTCAAATGGCTGTGCCCGCTCATTCGTGAAGAATAAGGTGTATAAGCTACTATAGTAACTATAAAGTACTATTTTGTCTTTTAGGTTATGGATAAAATATGGTAATTCTTATGGTTTAATAAAAATTGTTTGTTGGAAATTACCAGGCGACCCCCCTTCATTGTCCCGCGACCCCCACTTTGAGAACCACTGTTATAGAGTGGCTTTTTTTCGTTGTTTTTAAAAATTATAGTTCACCCCAAAATGAAACTTTCCCCACACTTGTTTAAACCTGTTTGAGATTTTTCTTCTGTTAAACACAATAAATAGTTAGAAATAATATGTAAAACGGTAGCCCTAGACTTCCATTGTATATTTTTTACCTACTATGGATGTCAACGGTTACCAGTTTCCAACATTCTTCAAAATATCTTCGTTTGTGTTCAACAGAAACCACTTGAGAATGGATAAATAAATAAATAATACATTTATTTTTTTTTGTGACCTATCCCTTTAACATAACTTTTGCTTTCAATGTTTAAAGAGCGACTGAACTAAAGAGCAAGAGCAAAATAAACATCTACTAGGAGCATGATATCATTTTAAAATTACAAACTGATCCTAAAATAAACACTAATTACACAAAAACCCAACAGACTTAAAAAAAAAATTCAGTTTTTACACTTGACAAGACTGTAGTTTGAAAGCTCCAGTCAGAATTGTTTTTCATGCATGTAAATATTAAAGTCTGTCTATAACTGGAGAACGTACAACAGAAGTTTACCTTGAAGAAAAGAGGCCTGAAAGTGACTTCTGAAAGTTTCATAATCATCACTAGCAGACAGTCGATCACGCAGCCTTCGATCTCAGCAGTCTTCTTCAGATCGCCCTAATAAATTATATTCGTCAGTAAATGAATGAAATCAGGGAAAAAGAAAAACTGTACCAGGGGGGATTTAATACCTGGCAATGCTGAGCACGGAAATCAAGCGCAGACAGGAAGAAGGAAGTGAGCTCTGATTGGTGGTTATTGAGTTGGTCTTTGTCCATGTGGCTGATATGTTCCTTCAGGATGTTCATCAGAGGACTGAGACGATTCTGCACAGAGAATACACAGAATATGGAGATCAGCTGATAATAGCATAGTTGTAACAACTTGTTTTTACGATCACTGAATTCTACACATGCAGTTGAATTCAGAATTATTAGCCCCACTTTTTCCCCCTAATTTCTGTTTAACAGACAGAATATGTCACACATTTCTAAACATAATAAAGGGTGTCGCTGGGTGATTAAAAACATTTTTTAATGTTAAGACCACCAGCAATCTAGCGACTTAATCGCTGGAGAACTACACACAGGCCACATTAATGAACTACAACTCCCACCATGCAGCTCGCACACACCGGTTCCTGTTTATCACTGGTTACACACACAGCCTGAGGATCACTATGGACTGATTTTAGGAACTATAAATACGGTGTGCGCACACACATCGTGGCTGAGTCTTCTGTCACCGAAGGACACTGGACAACAGAGTTAAGGATCCACGCGCCTCTTAATTAAAGGTGTAGTAGGTGCTTGTCTTCAGAAACATTTTTTGTTGTGCTGGTTAAAAGTCTCTTCATAGTCTAATAGTAATGATTAAAGTAAATGATCTAATGGAATTTTTTGTGTTTTTAGATTCTGGGTAAGGCATAAAACAAAAAAAATTTCATCCAATTAAATAGAGTCGGACCGACATCTCTCATGATTCCGAAAAGTAACTCAAACTGTCAGTCAACAAATGCAGATTTGGGCTTTTGCACATTTCTGGTCACGCATATCCGCCATATCCGCATGCCTGCCGCGTGTACACGCCTAGATGAGCGACACGTGCATGCCAGACTGTCAGTTGCAGCAAAATCAAATGCTGAATTGAAACTTTTTAAACTCCTGAATCAGTATTGCAGTTATTTTTGCACGCTGGAGGAAGGACGGCACCGAACCATGGCTGAAGGATTTCTGTTTAAGAGGTAATGTTCTGTTTTAAAACTATATTAGTCACACAGAGCTGATGTAGAGTGTATTGTGTTGTTATGAATAGGTTATATGCACAGACGTGTTGTTCAGCCACTGAAATCTCCCAGTGGAAGCTCGATTTGACTATTTTTAGTTTCTTAAGGGAGCTTTTACAGCATCGATGATGTAGATTTATATTCATATTAACAACAAAACATCAGTAAATCATGCTATTCCACCTAGCTTTCTTGCTGACCTGAAGTTGCTTTTATATTCACATTGGGTAATTTCTGAACAATGACAGTGACGCGCTCCCGATATTGTTAACCGCTACTCTGAAAATTCAGTCTAAAATAGCATGTAAGTGTGGCTTAGTAATAAGTGAAATTCCTGCAGGCCGCCCGGCCAACCACTACATACATTTCTAGCTGGCAAATGAACTGGGTTGTCTGCTTTTGTGTCGTGGTGCGCGCGCTCGTGATTTCAAGAGGCGTGCCTTTGAAACACAGTCCCTCCCTGCCATCCAAAGCTAATATGCTATCCGATTAACATTTTGGCAGATCACCTACTCCACCTTAACAAAGTATAGTCGAGCAGGCAATGGTCAAACAAAGGAACAAACAGTAGCATACAGGTAAATTCAATATCATAGGTTAAAACAGTAGAGTGGCACAGGCGGCAAAAAAATAAAGAAAGAAAAAACAGGCAAGGATCAATCACAAATTGAATAGATAGGATTAATGCTTTGTAATGCTACAATAACAGTGAGTAAGACTTAGCCATGATGTGTGTGTGCTGTATTTAAAGTCCATGAAATCCTCTGGCTGTACGTGAAATCAGCAGGAATCAGGAAACGGTGTGTGTGAAGTGCAAGCTGAGAGTTGTAGTTTGTTAACATGGTATGTGTGTAGTTCTCCAGATCTACACACACGGAGTATAGCAGCAGCTAGATTGCTGGTGATCGTAACAGTTATTAAACCATTAGAATTGCTATAACAATAATCTACTGAGGATAAAAATAGTATTTAATAGTTACACAAAAACAACATGTGAAAAAAACAGCCTTTAATTCTTTTTCCATTGCATTGCGACCCCTGAGGTTTTTACGCTAAATTAATGTCTGAAATCTAAAGTAAACACTATTTGCTTGAAAACACGCAAATGCGGTTTTCTCTTGCTCTAGGCAGACCATCAGGGCACAACAAATTTGAATTCAGCAAATGATCTCATGACGCACTTAATGTTTTAATCACGGCAGTGTTAAGGCTGATTTATAGTTCTGCATCAAGCGCATGCTATGGCGCAGTCTATGTGTTGACGCATAGCCCTATGCCGTGGCCGTCGCGCACTTCTAAAAAATGTAACTACATGTAGCAACGACACGTAGTGCAAGTTCTGTGATTGGTCGGCTTGGTAGCACTGACGAGTCTGGATGGGGCCGAGAGCCGCGGGAGCCCAATGGAGCGAATGTTTACAAGTGTGGAGTCCTGTGAAGGAACTCCAGATGGGATGTTTTGTTTTGTGTTTATGTCATGGTTAAAGTTGTTGTACGTTCACCGGTTTGAGCCACTTGTACATTAAGCGTTCAGAAAAAACAAAACACCAGCGAAGCAACTCGACACAGAAGAACATTAACACCTCACTGCCAACTAGTGTTTCGGAAGTGTTATTGCAGAACAACAGAAACAGCGCGCAGAAGTATAAATGCACAGCTAGGCGCGTTGCATGTGCTGTGCGATCACGTGATGCAGAAGTATAAACCAGGTTTTCTTGTACACATGGAAGGGTTAATCATATTAAGAAGCGTTTCCATTAAATTTTTTTTGATACATGTGGTGATCTACCTGCTGAGCATCCACCATGCTGCAGTAGCATTTAGTGATGGTAGGAATGAGGACCCTGGGAGGAAGTTTTGTGGCGAGAGTGGAGCTGAGAGAGGCCAGGCGTACAGATAACTGAGGGCAAGATGTCAGTCGCCTGGCCAGCAGAGTTAAACGGGTGACCTAGCAAACCAGAAGAGAAAGAAGATTTCAATTAGAACAGCAACCAGTGGAATAAAATGCATTTCCATCATTTCCAGGGGGCGCTGACCTGTAAGATGGTGTCCAGCAGGTATGGGCTGATGAAGTGTGGCAGAGTCTCAGATGCCCGCTGTAGAGCTGTGACGGCGCTCAGTAGGTAGATTTCATTATTTAGCAGGTCCTTCCTTTCCTTAAGAGTGTCCAGCACAGCGGGCATCAGCCTGAACACACAGCAATAAAAAAAGTCACTAAACGTATTTGTGAATTCAAATATATGGATAAATAAAATAAATCACTTAACTCTAGTGATTTACGCTGTTTGTCAGCTTTACACTTTTGTACTTATATTCAACAACGTAAAGCTAAATGCTGATTTATACTCTGAGTCAAGCGTACACATAGCCCTCGCCATGGCGGACGCCAACACTGACACGCACCTCTCAAAAATTGTAACTTCAAGTCAAAACAACGTGTAGCGAAGCTCTGTGATTAGTGGGCTTTGCACCTGTGACCAGTGTGGACGGGGCCGAGGGCAGTGCAAACCTGTTGGAGCCAGTTTTTACAAGCGTCTAGTGCCGTGGAGGAGCTCCATATGAAAACTTGTTTTGTGTTTACCTTTTGATTAAAGTTGTTGCACGTCTGAATGAGGGAGTTTTAGCTACTTTTAGGTAGCTTTCAGAAAAAAAAATCACCAGCGAAGAAACTCGACACAGAGAAACATAAAAACCTCACTGCCAGCATGCATTTCGGAAGTGTTATTGCAGAGCAACACAAACAGCACGCACAAGTATAAAACACACCGATCAATATACGCAGAAGTATAAACCAGCATGTATACTTCTGTTTTGATGCTAACATAGCTAACTAGTTACTGTAATTAAATTACTTTCCCACTAAAAAAATAAAGGATTGCTTTTCATATTTAGGTCATTTACTTAGTTTCTTATAATATACTTGCCTCAAATACTGTACATGAACACAAAACTATTCTTTATAAATAATATTTTATTTTGCAGAATAATTCTATTTCACAGCTAAAGAACATTCATATCCGTTATCAAAACAAGTGGAGTGTGAGTAATTAATGACAGAATTGACATTTCTTGGGTAAACTATCCTTTTAAGCAAAGGTTCAGTTGAAAAAACAAAACAAAATAAGCCCTGCAAATGTCTAAATAGACAAACCTTTAATTGTATTGAATCAGTTGTTTATTTAATTTACTAGATTAGACCTAATAAATCATTCACATGAAATTATTATTTGGAAAAAAAAAATAAAATGAGGAGAAACTTAAAAAATATCAAATTTAGTTAAACATTTAGTAGCTTGTAATTTTGTTATTAACTCGTCTGAATTTAAATTATCTTTCTAAAGATGTTCAGTGACCAAACTCTTATTTTAATCAATGTAATTAATTTTTAATTAATTAATTAACAAATTATTGATGCAAATGAAGAGTTTAGATGCAAAACCCTCTAAATCCATCAGACCTATTTTCCATCAGGCTCCTCTGATTAGGTCATTGTCTAGGTAATGTTAAGGTTATTAGCTAGTAACTAATAGCTTTTTTAACTAATTTCTTTGGTAAATTGTCTTTTGCGTCAAAACCAGCTAAATCCACCTATCCACCTACAAGACCGTGTTTTTAGTTGAAAAATAACTAAAGATGCTATTAGAAATTATTTTACCAAACATAAAACACATTACACAAACCACCTAAAGTTAAAAACACATAAATGTGTCAAGTAAGTGGCGGTTCATTCCGCTGTGGCAACCCCTAAATCTGTCAAGTAAGTACATTAAGTCAATAACACTATAAGTTAACATTAATAAAATCTTAATCTATTGTCATTTCTGATATTTGGGATTTAGATTTAATGTAAGCAGAACAATGTAAACAATGTAACTGTTAGATTCAAATACTGTAGTGTAAAATGTACAGTGCCAAAAATTTTGATAAGACAAAACTTTTGAAGTGTGTAAACATTAAAATAAAGCAAATGAAAACATTAAATATTACTAAAATAAAAAAAATATATAAGTAATATTAAAATATTATCAATTTAAATATTTTGGAGTACCGCAAGTGGAACAGAGCAAAACGTTAAGAAACAACAATATCTGTGCAATGTGTGTGATAAAAAGCTTATCAGACAAAGTGTAAAGTAATGTTAATAATGTATAGTTTTTACATTATATTTATCTTTACAAACAGCTTACATTAGCAAATAAAACACAGTAGGCTACTGTGCAAAAAAGGAAAGTCTTTTAGACACTTTTAGAAGCTGTCAATCAATTATCCTCACCATACCCAAGGTCTTGATCATAACATCTCTTTTTCATCTCTTCTATTTATCCTCATAGCATCCATGTGGGATAATAGAACTGCATCTTGTTTAAATTCACCTTTCATGAAAGGGAGTAGCCGTTTAATCTATAGTAAATCAGACTCATTCAAAGAAGCGTCACAGCGCAAAAGAATGTAGTGAATGCGTGCTACACTTCCCACTGTGCAATATGTTTTCTTTCTTCGTATAATGCAGAGAGTTTTCAGGTAAGGAACGTTTTCATTTGACATTCAGTGACAGTCGGACAGGCTCAAGCAGTCCATCAAACTCCATCTTTTAAAATGTAAAGTTAAATCTGAATGAAACGGTCTCCTCATAAAAGTTATCATTGCCACCTTGCGGACATTAAAACTCATTTTACATCGCCAGTAATGAAACATTACTTAAGGCTCTACGGTACCTGTGTAACTGTGGTATAGCAAGCGCTTTCAGAGTGCTGGTAACTTCCGCTACACACAGCAGAGCACTTCCCATGACATTCTTCTCCTCGTCTTTATCAGCAACCAGCTCCACCGCTTTATTCAGCACTGGTACAAACTCCTCCTTGTGATCAGAGCCGAAATTTCGGCACAGAAGCTTGAGGCTATAAAGGGCCGTCTGTCGATTGATGGCCAGCTCTTCTTCTTCCTGGGCCGTGACCTGACGATGACTGCGACCCACGATGCTCAGAAGAGTGCCAATGAGCTCAAGAAGAGCAGTGATCTGTCAGAGAAATAATTTCCAGCTATTATTTAAAAGCATGTATTAATGAAGAACGGGCAGTCAGTGCATATTAGCAATAAGTTGGATCAAAAAATAAAAAGGTTTCAACAAAAAGGTTACCTGTTCCTTCAGCCACTTCGTCCTCTGTTGTAGTTTGTTATTGAGTAACTCCATGGCCTTCCTTCTTACTGATGCCAACTGATTACCCATCAAGCCTCTCATTACCGTAATGAACGTATCCATTGGTAGAAGGGCATTGACCTAAATCCGAAACAGGACTACGGTTCATTTCAGAATAGAAAAAGTATCATGCAGGTTTAAGCATTATCTGAAAAATATCTTGGGGAAAAAATGACATTGCATGAATTAACTTTTTGAAAGCACATTTATGAATCGTGCCAGATAACTCAGCTCTGACTGTTATTTTATTGCAGTGTAAGGACGCCAATAAACTTGATAAAGTATCAATTAAATCCTGTGTTTTCATATATGTTAAAGGGTCATTAAACACCAAAACACATTTTTTGAGATGTTGACAGTCATACAGGCGGACACTTTGGCGCAATAGGTAGTGGTGTCGCCTCACAGCAAGAAGGCCGGTGGTTCGAGACTTGGCTTGGTCAGTTGGCATTCCTGTGTGGAGTTTGCATGTTCTCCTCGTGTAGGCATGGGTTTCCTCCGAGTGCTCCGGTTTCCCCCACAAGTCCAAAGACATGTGGTACAGGTGAATTGGGTATGCTAAAATTGTCCGTGGTGTATGAGTGTGTGTGTGTGTGTGAATGAGAATACGTGGATGTCTCCCAGTGATGGGTTGCGGCTGGAAGGGCATGCGCTGCGTAAAAAACATGCTGGATAAGTTGGCGGTTCATTCCGCTGTGACGAAATAAAGGTTTATAAAAGGACTAAGCCGAAAAAAAAAAAAAAAGAATGAATGAATGAATGAATGACAGAATATTTGTGTCCCACGCTGCTAAAAACACTATTAGGTCACATACACGTCACAAAAAAGTGAAAATGGTTGTTTTTTTCGTTATTTCGAGAAAATTCATTCTTTTAGTTTGAAACAAATTTTTGAAGCTGCGTCACAGAGATTAGATTCTTGCATGTATTCCAGCTTGTAGAATGGCGGTCTGTGCTGGCCAGTATAACGTGACGTATTTGAGTGTGCAGCATTGATTCACGAGTATGACTTGCTTCATCCAATCAGCGCGCAATATTGTGAATGAGGTGCAACTTCATTAATGTGCATGATTGCTTCGAAGAACATTTTTACCTGTTACAGTGTTCAGATGGCAGAGAGAGGCCACATTGTGTTGCCAAAACAAGTGGAAGAACAAGAATTGTTTGGAGACACGTCAGTGTGGAGTGTATAAATGTGCCGCAACAAAGGTTTTGTTTTCATTTCCCGCTACGAGAGCGCAGCTGGACTCACGTGTGGATTACAATGCACGCAACAGAAATACATCTGTAAGAAACATTTTTTACCTAAGAGCTTTTCACATCTGGAAATAGTGAAATCCAGATTTGCCGCTCTACTCCTTTAAAAAAAAAAAAAGATGCGGCTCCAGTTGGTGTTGATTGTCCTGTCTCAACAAGTTTGGTAAGTGTGTGATCAGTGTATTTGTTTGTTTATTCAGAGGTAAAGTTAGTTTGTATCGTCAGCAGTACTCTTTCAGTATTTAAAGACATACCTTAGTCAAATGATTTAGTTACTAAGTTTACCGTGCGTTGATATCACTACAATATTATGTGCTGAAAGATCCGCTGTAAAGGCTGCTCTCCGAGTGTAAACATGTAAACACTTTAATCAAACAATTACCGTCATGTAGGATATCCGCTGCATTTTGTGACAGGATAGTCTATACACACATGGCTTTCTGATGCTACCTACCGAGTGCAGAGAAATTCAGAGAAATTCAGAGTTTTTTTTTTCTCCCATTCGCCGTGTGGTATCAAACATTCCATTAAAACTATACTCTCCAGCAGTTCCTCCCATCCAATATCTCATTTGTCACGAGGGGCATGCATGAAATGTTCCTGAACTAAAGTGAAAGTGCCAAACTGCAGTTAAAGTCAACAAATTAATAATTTGGCAAATAATTCGATTACTGATGCCCATGTAAACACAGTCACTGTCAGTCACTGCCTGTTTGTTTTACCTCTGTGAAAATCAGGGCATGCCTAAACGGAAACTCCCATTTTTATGCAAACCCATCCCTCTTTCCCTTTCCTGTCACTCCTACCTAAACAGAGCTGGACAAACCCACTTTCCTGACTATTTTCAGGGTGTGAAAACACCCATGCTATGACAGAGGAGTCTCGTGGCCCTTTAAACTTTCAAAATACTCTTCAAAATAACTCTAAATACATTTTTATATGCATTTGTTTATATATTTTTACAAGTCCATACACATTCCAAAGGCAGATACTGATTAGATCAGGGCTTGGTTAATATGTGCACTTTAGGGGTTTTACGATGTGGTCACATGTTGATTGTTCAGTTTCAGTTTTTATGTCTCAGGATTTGGGCTTTGGTCACATGGTAAAGAAAGATCCAAAATACTTGGTAAATTTTGCTCTGTCTCTTTTTCTCCTGTTTTTATACAGTTAACTGCAATTAATTCAATTGTAAACATAGAGAATTATTGTCATTAAATCATCTCATTTTTAAGTATTTGTGAAATACTTTTAATTTAACATCAACATTTGATTGCTCTATATTGCAATACAATACAATCATAAAATAGCAACGCTCCCCCACATTTTTAGCTATTAATACTGCCCTTATTTCTATTTTTAGTAAAAGATTGCAGAAGGACAAGGTTTGACTAGAAATGTACAGTTTTTTTTACCATCATACTGAAAACTTTTTAGTTATTTGGCAGAACTACAGTTTGAACCGCTGTCGTTAAAACCCATTCTTACAGTGTAATTATAATTTAGTCTATATTTCATCCACACAAGCAAAATAGTTAACTCTGGTGGCTTAGATTTGGCTCACTCACTCCTCCTAGCTGAAATTAACCACTTCACCATTTCAACTGAAAATATTTAACAAGGCATCTACTCAATTTCATTCAGTCAATCATTTTCTTGTCAGCTTAGTCCCTTTATTAATCCGGAGCCGCCAACTTATCCAGCAAGTTTTTACGCAGAGGATGCCCTTCCACCCGCAACCCATCTCTGGGAAACATCCACACACTCATTCACACACACTCTCATACACTACGGACAATTTAGCCAACCCAATTCACCTGTACTACATGTCTTTGGACTGTGGGGGAAACCGGAGCACCCAGAGGAAAACCACGCGAAGGCAGGGAGAACATGCAAACTCCACACACAAACGCCAACTGAGCCGAGGTTCGAACCAGCGACCTTCTTGCTGTGAGGCGAATGTTACCCACTGCACCACTGCCTCGCCCATCCACTCAATTTGTAAAAACAAATGAAGTATTTGACAAACAAAAGTATGATTATTCATCACAATAAAGTGCTTCTTACCTTGTCCAGGGTGTCATAGGACTTGCTTAGGAGGGCTCTCCAGAACTTAGCTGTTGGCTTATCTGCATTATCCTCGACACATCGAGCAACTGCCTGAATGTAGCGCAGAACCTCCACCAACAAACTAACAAGTAAACATAAAGAAAAAACTTGACACCTGCTACCAACCCAACAACCAATATCCAGCATTGTAGTCAGGCTTCAAACTCACTCTTGCTGAAGAGCCTGTAAGGTACTTTCTGTAATGTCTTCACAGTCAGCCACCTGCAGTCAAACAAGTACATATTCAACCGTCTAATCGAAACATACGGTGGCCATTTTGATACTGGCAATAAATCAGCTGTACTACATACTAAACCTACCTTCCCAACGAATCCGTCAGAGGCCAGCAGCTGAGCCATGAAGGAGATGGAGATGAATTTAAAATGGCGGAGGTCTTTGCCACTGTGAGTCTCCACACTGAATATCAGATCAGAGACTGTTTCATCTTTCTTCACGGCACTTCTTCCACGGGGTTTCTTTTTCTCTGGTGCTTTGCAGAAAAAACAAACAAACATAATTTGTCTCTGATTTTCTTTTAGGTTGACATCGTAAATCTAAATCTAATAATTGAGATTTGAGTCAATTCAAATTCAGCTGGTTTTGTTTTTTTAATTTTGGATAAATGCATGTTTTTTTGTATAGAAACACTATATATCTCTTAAGTGAAGCTGTAAAAGCTTCATCTCAGCCTTTTAATGATATAACACCTTTCTACTCCAATTTGTTGTTGAAAAATAAACAGGTTTATTTAAATAATTATAGGGTTCAGTTCAAATAAAATAAATATGCAATAAAATGCAGATTTTTGACAAAATATTTACAATATAGTTTTCATTTCTTGGCTAAATTGACACAGAATGGCTTTTGTAATGCAACTTTAAGTTACAATGTATACAATCTGTTTTAGTGGTGTTTTTCCCATGGTATTTTCCCCCTAAGAATGAATCTAATCAGGCAGAATATCTTAGATTTTAAGATCTCAGTGTTAAAAGGATAGTTTACCCTAAACAACAAAATCTCTTCACCGTTTACTCATACATAATTGGTTATAAAATTTTAGAAATATATATATTTTTAATGTTGAATCCAAAACAAGATAATCTTAAGAATGTTGAAAAAAAGGAGCCACTGACATCCATAGCAAGAAATAAATAGACTATGAAAGTCAATAGCCACATTTCCATTGCTGGGCCACAGTGCGAGCCAGACCTTTTTTCGGGCTGGGCCAATAACCGGGGAGCTTGAGCAGTGAGGACAAAATCATGTCACGTTTCCACTGTCGGGCCAATAGCTCGCAGTGCTGCATGTAAACCCCGCCCCAGAACGCCTCCTGAATTACCCGCCCAGTTCAATGAGAAAAAGAAAGTCAAATCAGAATCAGGCAGATAAAGCACACCATCATTACAGCTAGTTTTATGTCTTTCTGTTGTATTCACATTTGTATTAGCTTTAAAATAAAATCGATGGAGCTCCACCCCTTCACTCCACCCCGAAGCCCTTGCTTTGGCCCAAGGTATTCGGCGGGCCGAAAAAGGTTGGCCATTGGCCCCAAAGAAGCTCCTCTGGAAATGCAACTGGCCCTGGCACCCTCACTTTAGGTGCGACAGTGGAAACGCAGTTAATGCTTTCCAACATACTTCAAAATATTTTATTTTGAGGTCACAAGAAAACAAGTGAAGAGTGAGTAAATATAATTATTCTTTAAGACTTAATCTATCAAGTTCATCAAAATGTAAACGCTTAAAATCAAGAAACCAATTACGTCAATACAGCCGTATACGTACACGACATGCTTTTTTCCATTATGTCATATTTTACAACATCCGGCATGAAAATATGTAGCTTCTGTTAATTTATAAAAGGTCTGTACTTGACATTTGGCAAACTGTGGTTTACACATTAAAGGGACAGCCCACCTAAAAATATGTAGTATTTACTTACCATCAGTTGGTTCCAACCATTATGATCCTCTTTTGCTGAAGAAAGCTAAACCAGTGACTTTCCAACAATACTATGGAAGTCAAGGGTTACAGGTTTCTAGCTTTCCTCAGTATATCTTCTTTTGGTGTTCAACATATTTGTGGCAAATAAAGGGTGTGCAAATGATGACAACTTTCAGTTTTGGGTGAACTATCCCTTTAATGACCTACATCTATTCTTTTGTTTCGGTGGACATAGATTCATCTACTGGAGTTGTATGGATTATCGTCATGGTGGCTTTATGTCTTTTTGAGCTATCCCCAGACTTGCATTATGATATTTGTTTTAAAATCATAATTTATTTTAAATGAAGTGGGCAGTTCTTACCTTCTTCTCTATCTTGTGGCAGAGTCATGAGATACTGCAGGATTTTGATAAGGGAAGTCAGCTGCTCCTTCACCTCAAACTCACAACACACCAAAATCCAGAAGTCTTGATCTCTCTCCACAACAGCCTCCTGAACAACACAACATGCAACCGTCTCTATGAATGCTAAACACAACTGGTTTACAAATGGAGATAAATGCCTTTTTTTGGTTTGAATAAAGTTAAAAAAAAACATGAAAAGTTGTGTACTTTTCTCCCTTTAGGGAAAATATCCAATACTGCGATTTTCACCTGACTTTAACTGAATAAAAAGCTGAATTTCCATCATCAATAATGGACAGGAAAACATCCCACTGTTTTTAAAATGGTCTTGAATATCATATTGTAGTACTTTAAAAGCCACTATGAAAACAACAATCAATAATTCACCTCAGATTTTGGAAAAAAAATTAAATAAATCTGAGGTAGTCATTTTTTACATGGCTATGCACTTCATAGCCATTTAAAAAGTGACTACCTAAGTTTTGTTTTCCATATTTCACTCTTCCATATTTGATATGTTAATAGTAGTACAAACTTTTTCTGTCATCTACTTCTTAACAGTCATTTTGAAGCCAAAGCTTCGTAATGGGTAACACTTTACATTAAGGTTCATTAGTTATTGCATTTACTAACATGAACTAATCATGAGCAACAGATGTACAGCATTTACTAATTATAATTGAACATTTACTAATGCATTATAAACATTCAAGTCCATGCTTGTTAACATTAGTTAATGCACCATGAGTTACCATGAACTAACAATAAACTACTGTATTTTCATTAACTAACGTTTATTAACATGAATAAATACTGTTGTAAATGTATTGTTCATGTTAGTAAATGCATTACTTAACATTAACTAATAAACCTTATTGTAAAGTGTGACCCCTAATGTATATTATCCTGACATGCTGACCTTAGCTTACAGATACAATCTGTAAGCCTGTCACAATAACCAATATAACGAATTATCGTGCAATATTTGGAAGTGACAAGTAAATTCACAAGTAATGTTAAATCCAATGACACAATGACATTAACATTATGCCTCAACACTGTCAGACTTTATAATTGGACATTTACCTAATAGGATATTTAATAGTGTATATAATAGGACATTTACCTTTTAACACCAAATTAGGGCTGGGCGATAAAATCAATGTCTGTATTTATTAATCGTGAACGATTGTCAATAACAATTAAAAAAGCTTGGTATGTAGATTTAGTATGAAGGCTATAGTTTTATTCAAATGTGGCTGCTGAGCGCACATGAATGCCAATAAACTTAGGGTGTTAAGTTTGTCATTTCCAATGGAGGCGCGCAACTGTTATGACACGCACATGGGAGTGACGTGCAAATGGTGTGCAAGCGGTGCACACGTGATGAGCATGCAGTTTTCAGGTACACCTAGTTGAAAAACATCTTAACTTTTCAGATTGCCGCGAGCACACTGTGATTCACGTAAGCAGAACTAACCAATCTGCTTCACACTTTGTGTGGAACATACACATTTCAGTAATAACGGCAGACTTTTTACCTCAGACAAACACAGCGCATCCAAACACTGCAGTGCTTTTTATGTTTCTCCATAAACTTGTATTGGAGCTGCAGTAATGGTTTGTCTTTAACCTTTAATGGTAGCCTAGTCACGAGAGATGCCACAAGCACAAAGCACATTATGAAATGGTGAAGGAAACCACGTGCTCGTGCTTGTCACTCCAGGTCAAAATAACAACACATGTGAAAATGAGTGCCGTGTAGCAATAGCGAGGAGATTGTAATTAAAAAAAAAGAGTGTCGCCAGAGTGGCTTTTTGGTTTCTTTTCTTGTGCATCCCAGCCACTTGCGAAGAGTTTTTAGCATAGGGGATAATATAGTCAGAATTATAGACAACTTCACAATTTGTAAAGTTGCATTACTTATTTAAATAATGATGGCTGGTCCGTTTATCTGAAAGCTCAGATTTGATTATCATATATTGTATAATTATTATTTACACCCTAAAGTTTGTGCTGACTGTTCAGTATTTACACTTTACCATTGCACACACTTTTGTAACATTCTATTTATCTATTTAAGTTTAAGAGTCTTTTTAATACTTTTGTTTATTTTATTATAAAGAGTACAGATTTTAGTTTAAATATTTTTGCTTTTGACTATTAAAACTATTTGCCTTAGTAATGTGGATAATTAAAATAAAAAGTGGTTAAAATTTTTTTTTTTAATTTAATGTTAAAAAATAATCAATAATTATTGATACCGAAAGATATGAAACCCAATATTATGCTAATTTTTTACAATATCGCCCAGCCCAACATCAAATGACAGAATCTTATCAACCTAAAGAACGTTACGCATTTTAAAGTGTTTATGGCTATTTACATTAATAACCTGTTATACTAAATTGACAATAGTATCACTTATTGCAACAATTTCTGTCACAATTTATCGCACAATAGAAATGACATATGACAGGCCAAACAGTCTGGTGACTGCAAATGAATTACGTAATTGACTGGCAGACAGTTGAGTAGTGAGCATGAAAAAAATAAAATTAAGTTGAACCATAAGCCTTTTGTGTTTACATTTTTTTTTTAGAAAAAAATACATTTGGATAAATTTAAATTAAAATTTAAAGCGATAAAGGTCCCTGATATTCCCAGACTTTTAATGTCTGTAATGAAAACACTATATTTCCAAAAATGCCATGACCCATGAGATCCCCGTGTACCTTTTCAGCCCCCGTCGCACCAGCAGATGTTTGTGTGACATGCTGCTTGAACAGAAGCAGCATCAGCACCCAGAGGAAGCGGGACGGGCCCAGTGTGCTCATCAGCTGGCTGAGGATGGGTAACCGTCTGTGCTCGGGCACATGAGGAAGAGCATCAACAAACACATGTATGATCTGGGCTACCACAGTCTCCATATGACCCTCAGACTGAGAACTTCCTCCCTCGTGGGCCTGTGGAGAAACATAATTGATTAAAGGTTTTAAAAATTAAGTCACATTTTTAGTTGCTTTATAGAAAAACTACACTGTAAGAAAACTAAGAAATGTGAAAGTGTTGTTCCTGTAAAACTGTGTAAAACTCCCCACCACAATGATACAAGGTTGCAATGTCTATTAACGTTTTGTATGTGTAAATACAACATAAGTGTTTTTAAACCATAGTATAGTTAAGTACTTAAATATATCTGTTGTGGTAATTCTATAGTTGGTGTGGAAATACAACTATAGTACTATAATCACATTACTCAATACTGTGATAAAGTTTAAAGGAACATGCCACTTTTTTTTTTTTTGGAAAATTTGCTCATTTTACAAGTCCCCAAGAGTTAAACAGTTTTACCATTTTTGAATCCTTTCAACTGATCTCCCGGTTTGGTGGAAAGTATTTTTAAATTAGCTTAGCATAAATAAGGGCTATTCAATTGGCGGCCCACGGGCCAAACCCGGCCCCCGAGGCAGTTTGATCTGGCCCGCCAAATAGTGTGACCAAGACATTAAAAGTAAATTAAATTCAGTCGAAAAACGCTTGCTAAAGTTATGAAGTGACGTGCGTCTGTTCACTAAATCATGAGCTGCAGTTGAAGGCTGCGCAGAGTGTGAGTAACCATAAGCGAGTGGTGCAGAGAGCCGAAAACATTTGGAAATGTTTTGTAGAAAAAGCCTTTTGTACAATGCACTGTAATCATTAATAGGGATGCAATGATTAGCTGATTTCACTTATAACTGCGCTTTAATTCGTCACAGTTAATTAATCGTAAAGGCTTCTCTAAGCCGCATTTCTGTTGCACGGAAAAGTTATGACAAGTTGCCCACTGTGCGCTAGTTTAAAGTTACAAGCATGTACACGGAGGCTAATACGCAAGCACACCGGATTAACTATAGCAGCAGCCGTTCCCATATCCGTCTTTTCCGTTTGCAAGTTTGTTATTTCTAATGTAAGAATGACAATATGCGCGCACAAGCAGAGCAACGCGCTTGCCTCTGTCCGGGTGCACGCAGTAGAAAACATCTCACAGTGAGAGTTATGCGTGGCTTTCAGTGCAATGTAAACAAAAGATATGTTAGACATGAACCCAGATGATAATAACAGTTAATCTAATTAGCTACTTCCCTAATATAAAGCTTGTTGTTCTAAATTACATTAGACGTGATAACCGTGAAAGCATGATTATTCTTCAGACTATATCGTACAACCAAAATCTATAATGTTGCATCACTAATTGTAATGCTGTTCAAAACATAACATATGAATGTAGAAAAAGCCAGCAATGCACTGCTTTTGTTGTGCGAAATACAACATTTTAAAAATGTGTGTAAAAAAAAAAATCAATTGGACAATGCAGTTGTTTTAAAATACAATATATTAACATTTTAACGTCGAAAAAGCCAAATGTAGTTGTGTCATCACTCATATAGCAAGTCATATCTCTCCGGCCCTTCTTCAGGATGCTTTTCAGGAACCGGCCCCCATGCCAAACTGAATGAATAGCCCTGGTGTAAATCATTGAATCAGATTAGACCATTAGCATCTCGCTCAAAAATGTTAAATAAAGAGTTGATAATTCTCCTTTTTTAAGCTTCACTAATCAGTCGTTACATCATAAATAAGACAAATGGAAAAAGAAACTGCTTTTTTCTAGGTTAATATGTCTAAGAATTATACCCTTATTCCAGTGTAATAATCAAAAATACACACTTTTTCTGGAGAAATATGCATAAATACAATAAAATGTATGTATTTTAAGAATTTAGGAAGATCTTTTCAGAAAGGTGCATTCTTGTCAATATGTCTCTGATAGGTGTAAATTTCTAAACTGCATCATAGATACTGCAGGATTTCTTGTTTTAATATATTTTTTTCTTATTGATTTTCAAGTAGACACATACACAAACCCCACAGCTATTACCCAGAATAGAACATATAATAGTTTTACAGCTGTCAATACCTTAAGTAAAAAAAATCACAGGTGTTTAAAGAGACACTGTAAGATTTCTGCTTAAAGTCATCTACCAAACACAATATAACATACATTGGATCAATTAATGCAAACCGAAGAGTTAAAACAAAACTGTTAAAAATAATTTACCCTATGGGTAAATAAACTTTTTTTTTTTTTTAAGTTTTGTAATGTAATGTGTATTTATATAGCGCATTTATGGCCATGCACCCAAAGTGCTTCACAATCATGAAAAGGGTGTCTCCACACCACCACCAGTGTGCAGTGTCCACTTGGATAATGCGAAGGCAGCCACAGGACAACGGCGCCAGAGCGCTTACCACTCACCAGCTATAAGGGGAGTGGAGAGACAGTGATAGAGCCAATTCAGTGGATGGGGATGATTGGAAGGCCATGATGGGTAAGGGCTGATATAGGGAATTTGGCCATAACACCAGGGTTACACCCCTTCTCTTTACGAGAAGTGCCATGGGATTTTTAATGAGCACAGAGAGTCAGGACCTCGGTTTAATGTCTCATCCGAAAGACGGCGCTCACGGACAGTATAGTCTCCCTTTCACTTTACTGGGGCATTAGGACTCACACAGAACGCAGGTTGAGCGCCCTCTGTTGGCCACACTAACACCACTTCCAACAGCAATCTAGTTTTCCCATGTGGTCTCCCATACAGGTACTCCCCAGGCTCAGCCTTGCTTAAGCTTCATTGAGTAACTGGTCTTGGACTGCAGGGTGATATGGCTGTGGCAAGTTTTACATTCAGAACCCAACTTTTGGACATATACATACAAACTAATACATATTGCACAACTCTACAGTAGAGTTAAAGTTAGTTATAGTAGTAGTTATAACGATCTTATGTAATAAAGACATTCAAAAATTCCCAAATATATTAAATACTATACAAAAGATACTTTTTTTTAAAAAATAAAACAAACCTTAATCAGAGCAGGGATGACTGCCTGAACAGTCTTGTTGATGACTTGGAAGCTGTAAGTATCATCCAAGCGCATGATGTTGGCTCCCATGAAAGTGAAGATGGGCATGATGTTGTGAAGAACCTTCTCCTGAAAGCAGAAATAAAGACGACGACCACTGCATTTAAATATAGGTTTGCCTGCTGCAAGATCTTACCAGTGTCAATATTAGCATTTGACAATTTCCAATATTTGTAAACACAATAAAAAATAATATTCCTCCTATATTTCCTCAAGTATTCCAATTTTCATCAATTGTTGTGCATGAGTGGGTGTTTAATGACTGCACTTACAGGGAAGATGCCGGCCAGAGCCCCGAGCAGAAGCAGAGCATGATGGTGAGTTTGGGGCATTTCTGACACCCTGACACACTGAACGACCAGCTCCATATTAAACTTATCCTCCTCCAGCACATCTACACACACAGAGACACACACAAATGCAGCATGTCTTCAAGATTCTTGACCTAAAGAAACTCAAGAGAAAGCTTACAACTGCATTTTTCAAGGCAAAATTATGGTACATTTTATAACTATTTTATAAGTGCGGTTTAACAAAGATATATTCCCTCATTATTTTTTAACATAACAGTTTTGATAGCTATTTTGTAATGACTAACTTTCTTTTTGACGATACAAAATTTTATTTTGCAGGACACTAGTACTTAGTTTACGTGTAATTTAAAGGCTTAATTAAATATCCCGGCAATTTTATTAGGTACGCCTTACTGTTACCCCGGAGATGAGGCATGGAGGCAGTGGTTTTTATATTTATGTAGAAAATAATACATTTTGTAAAATTTTAATCCTTTATTTTTTTCATTTTTAAAATATTTGTGTATTGCTGTACATCCTGTGGGTATTAAAGGTTAAGCACCACTTAAGACAACGTTAGCACCTGTTAACTTTAATTGTGGGGAAAACTGGATAATTTCGAGCTTTTGTCTGCTAATTTTATCTTCCGGTTTTAAAATAATTTTTGGGGCTGGATCAGTGATGTAGCACGAATCTGCATTGCATCGATTTCATATTATTATTCATAGCTAAGTTTTCCTATCCTATGAAAAGACCATGCTTCTTAATTATTCATGACTGCAAAGGCTTTCCAAAGGCAACCTTATTGCATCGGGTGTATGATAGGGCCTATAGGTTCCTTAGTAAGTTATCAGATTTTGTTCTATCAAATAAAAGAATGGTTTTATATTGTTGATAAGAGCCCTATGCCTTATAAATACCTAAAGTGAATCATAATACTAACTTTTATGAACACATTATTGATAGCTTTAAGTAATACGCATTAATAACACTATTATAAATGTAGCAATAACTATCTGTATAATACAGTATAATGTTTGCTGTATCTTTATAGGTACATTAATAGAATGATTATAAATTAGAGGTGTGAACCTACACTGGTCTCACGGTTCGGTTACCATTATTATGCCATTGATTCGGTTCAATTTGATATCTCGGTGCATTGACGATGCTTTCCATACACAGTGTTATATTTTAGGGGGTGGCTGTAACAAGCTGTCTGTATAAACACACACACATACACACACACACAATCACACTGTCTCTCACACACAAACATAGACAGCACTAAACAAACATGCACACATGCACGCACGCACGCACACACACACGTCCACAAATAGTCACACCAACATACATTCGCACACACACACTCATAAACAAAGACTTGTACACACACACACGTCACGTGCGCTTGCTTGCTCGATCGGGAGCGATATCCACTCCTGTTAAAATTACACCAGTTACCGACCGCTCCCGCACTATATTCGGAAATGTATTCGCATGAAATCTGGTCAGGTCCTGCGACAATGCACAGGTACAGCCGCGGGAATGCATACAGCCGAGAGGAAAAGAGAGGGGAGGAAAAGTCACGCCAGCAGCCGAGAGGAAAAGAGAGGGGAGGAAAAGTCACGCCAGCAGCCGAGAGGAAAAGAGAGGGGAGGAAAAGTCACGCCAGCAGGTGAAATGGGCCACAGTGAGAGTGAGAAAGAAATGGAGTACTTTCATTCCCTCAATTGGAGAGAAATAGGGCCTTCTTCTGCAACTGTCAGTGAAAGACTGTACAGAAATCACACACACGCAGTGAAACTATGCACAGTTGGCGCCAGGAGTGTTGTAAATACCCGCGCTCACCTCCCTCGCGACGAAGCGCATTTGAGGTAAATGACGTCAGTAAATAATAAACGGTTATGATCATTACTGAACTAATACCGAATTGTCCGAGTCTGCATCGCTGTGCACCGAAAAAACAATTAATTTTGACACCCCTATTATAAATAATTGGAACAGTTGTAGTTCATAATAAGCAGGAGCTTCATAGAAAGTGTTAGCAAAAAAGACTGCAGAAGAAATATTAATTTCCTTGCTCTGTTAAACATCATTTGGGGAAACTGAAAAGTTAGCAATGTTAATTTCACAGAAGGGCTAAAACTTTGTCTTCTATTGTATATCCATTGCAAATTAAAGTGACAAAAAAAGAATAAATAAAACTGGATGTTTGTTATTCCTTATAGTCTGCAAAATTATTTCACATCCATATGCAAGGCAATTACATACAGAGGGATAAAGACAGAAAAACAACATTAGACTACTTTTACGCCATCTTTTTAACCATTATTATGTTTTTATAGGCATTAACGGCAGATTTGTGATACCTTTGCTGATTGGCCCTCCCTCTGGAGACAGTTTCTGACAGACATTCAACAGGCAGATGAGGATGAGCTGTTTTGTGTACTCTATATTCTCCTGTTCAGCAGCAGCAGGTTCCAGACACCTGTAGTGAAAAAACACACATTCACAATTCATTCTACTGACATATTTCAGAGTGTGTTTAATCAGAGTCGTTGTTGAGATTTGGTTTATCGATCTTGATTTCAGAGAAATAGAACATTCTTGCACAGACATCAAATTTGCAAGCTTGGTATTAAATAATAATGAATAAATCATATTTCCACTCAGCCCCAATTTTTGCATTTGTTTTTTAAATCACTTCAAGACAGTAAAATCTGTATTGGATTTTTCTCCCAGTGAGTATAGTTGTCATGTATGTTTAAATCCACACTTTACAACCATTATCAGGACTGCTTGATACTGGAAAAAATGAAAATTGCAATATTTTGCTTTTTTACATTATATATTGCAATTTCACAAGATGACTGAATAGCTTTTATTTGAAAGACCTCATAATTTAGGGGAGTATAAGCTACAATAAACAAATTAGAAACATAACTAAATTCAAAGAAGCAAAAGATATAAAATGCAGTGCTTTACGATTTTCTAGGGAGTTTAATAGTAGTCAGAAAGATGAACAGATTTGTATACATGTATAGTCTGAAACCCTTCACTGTTAGGTTAAACTAGAACTGTAGTATCTGGTCAACTGTAATCCCAAACCGATCTGCGTCCACACCGGCATTTCATCATTTTTGTAAAGCTCTCCGTCCACACAACACCGCTAAAAACGTATGTCACATGACCATACACGCACTCTAGCATGTGCTGCAGTGCATGTGCACATCTGAGCTCCAGGAAGTCAGCGGGTGCTTTGAGCACAAAACCCCAGGTGAGAGCAGCACACGTAGAACAGATCATCTAGGAACTACTGCTGGATATCACTATAGTTGTTGAATGTGATGTTCAATTAATCTCGTCTCTAATCTAATGACTCTTTGGGTCTTTTAAATCATTTACTTGATAACCACGTGGGCTGATGATTCTGAACATTTGACTGATTGATTACCTTTTTTCCAATATAATACAAACTTATTTTATGTTATACTTTTATAATGGCCATTTTTGATTATTAAAATTGACATTCAGCAAAATAGACAGGCTATGTTTCATATTTTTCAATTAAAATGAAATCAAGCAGTAATGGTATAGGTTCCATTTTGTAATATTCATACAGTGAAGATGACGCTCATATAAATATGTAGCTACACGACAACTTTCTATTTTTGGTCTCTGTTAAGATGTTAACATCAAAATGAAAAGAAGCAGTTCCTTATTATTAAGCCAGGGTGATGTGAATGACGTTATAAAGTACACTGTTCCTTTTGAAGATTTATCCGACGTGTCCTCCTTTGAACTTACAAGGAAAGGATGCAAGACTGAACCTTGTGTACTTAATTTAAAAACGCCCCAATCAGATAGTAGAACGTCTGCCGCCACACCTCCATTTTCAGATGTCTCAGTTTTCCCCCATCCACACTCACACGGAGCAGCAGTGTTTTGAAACCAAAACTGCCTCTTCAGGGTTTCCAAAACGCTCCCTTTTCAGGACTTGAAAACTCCGGGGTAGTGTGGACAGAAGGCAGAACCGTAGCAAGACTTATACGTATTTGAGTAAACAAGGCCTAAATGTTGTAGAAAGTACACGTTTAAGCCACTAGGTGGAGACAAGCAACCATTAAAAGTGTCGCTGAATAATTCAATACATTTTTAGCGTGACATCGATTCGAAATGTAAGCCCCACCCAATTGTTGGGGAAACCCAGGAAAATTGAAACCTGTGGCCCCGCCCACAAACAATAGCAAAGAAAAAGAGTAAGACAAACGCTGTAACAGATCCCGGTTAAATCAAGTTGTGTAGACGCTGTGCTCAGCTGGATGTTATTGGAAATGTAAGGGGAAAATTAGTTTTATTTTCTCTACCCAAAAATCAAACTGTGAAGAGTCAGTGGTTGAGGTTTATTTTTACAAAAATACCTCCGGTTGAAATTATGGGGGTAAATAACAAAACCCCTGGGAAAAACAGTTGTGTTGGCAGAGTGTTGGCAGGTATACTCAAACATGAACGCTGTCGACCAATCGCAACATACTGTCATCGGTCCAATCAGCGCAGATTAGCTTCGCGCTAAGAAGAGGTTTGGGAACAAATTAATCGCTGAACGAATCAAATTTTTTAGGATAATTAGGTAAAATAAATGCAGATTATAAGACAATAAAAGTGTTTTTGACCTTGCATGCATATCAGCCTGTTTTTTGGAGACCCTTAAAAACAAAATATGACCCTTTTTAATGTACAATAGGGGCTCTTTATTATGAAAAACATTGAAAAAAAAGTGCAAGTTATTTATTTTTACTTTTTTACAAGAAAAATTGTCTGTAGGTTTAAGGCAACAAGTGTTTTAATTTCAGTTGTTCACTGTTGATGTTCAATAAATAATCATAGTAGAGTGTTTCCCTCAATTACTTTAAAATCAAGTAATGCACCCTTCATTCAAAAATCTCTCACTTGTAATATGTGAGCATATTTACAGTACACAACCTGTCAGTGAACGAAGAGGGCAAAAAAAATTTTTTTGGGCCAAATCGCCAGGCCCTGATCTACAGTATAATCATAAACAGAATCTATATTTTAAACAAAATAAATGTGATTTGCCAGTTTAAAGAGAATCCTTCAGCTCTACTTGATATTATTGTAAAACATCTAGAAATCAAAGTAGATGTTGTATTAACATACCTTGAGAGCAAATTAAACAGAGCGGGCACTAGATACTGAGCCCTCTTAAGTTTCTTCTTGTGTTGAAGCAGCTCTAAAATTAGCGTCACCCTTGGCCAAGAAACAACACTCTCCTCTGGCACTGCCCCAGATGTGTCTTGTGTTTTTCTAGGAGAAAACAAACTGCAGTCTGAATCTTCAAACCTCTTAGAACTGGAATATTTGCGGTGTACTACGAAAGTACAACCACTCACCTCATTTTACTTCTGCGCGTTTGTTGAACTGTTGCAGTAACTCTTTGTTTATCGGCAGGAATCAGCTCATTGGCCACAAGCTCGCAATCCACTGCAATCTAGAAAGAGACACACGGCAAACATTTTTACAGGTTTACATTTATTGCTCTGATTAAATGAAAAAAAAATTAATAAATATAAAATAAATAATCACTTTTCTTCTAAATAATTTTAGTTAAATAAAATCCTTTTGTTTAATATACAGAAATGATTCAGTTTTTGCAGTTCATAGAGAAGATATGAAGATTTCCCCTACCGTTTTAAAGACACTGTTGATACTTTGGGCGCAGGCAGGGCTTTTATTCCCAACAAGCAGGTCAAACAAAATCGAAAGAATCTTCTGTTGAATCTTTTCATCTCCAATAGCAGTGAAGAACGGCTTGGTAATCTGAGGAAACATCCCATCAAAATACACAGACAAATAAAGCTCTGAAAATAATCCAGTCAGGGGCAATTATCATTTCTGTTTGAATATAGATTCACGTTATAGAAGCAATTCATCATAAAATGTAACTTTTATATTTATTATTAATATTTAATCAATAATAGAGCTTGAACTTCATGTTTACAATTGAATATCAATACTTTTAGCCCTCCTGTGAAATCTGATCTGTTGTAAAATTATTTTGTAGCCAATCGGAACAAAAAATTGTTATGAGGCTAATAAGTCTAAGTCTAAAATAAGTTTTAAAACACAGATTTCTAAAACTGATTTTGTTCCAGCCAAACTAAAAGAAACAAGACTTTTTTGATAAGAAAAAATATTGTATAAAATACAGTAAAAAATTTATTTGCTCCGATAGATATCACTAGGGGAATAATTGGAAAATAAAAACAAATTAATTAATTCAGAGGAGGGCTAAAGGCTGATTTATACTTCTGGCCATCGCCGTCACTGACGTGCACCTCTCAAAAAATGTAACTACACGTCGCAACGACGCGTAGCGTAAGCTCTGTGATTGGTCGGCTTGGTAGCGCTGACGAGTCTGGGCGGGACCGAGAGCCGCGCGAATGGCGCGAGCGATTGTTTACAAGTGTGGAGTCCCGTGAAGGAGCTCCGGATGGAAAGTTTTGTTTTGTGTTTACCTCATAGTTAAAGTTGTTGCACGTCTGCCGGTTCCTGCCTCAAAAAGAGAGAGTTTGAGCCACTTGTACATCCCGGAAGTGTTCAGGAAAAGCAAAAAAGTAGCGAAGAAACTCGACACAGAGGAACATTTACACTTCACTGCCAACTAGCGTTTCGGAAGTGTTAATGCAGACCAACAGAGACAGCGCGCAGAAGTATAAATGCACAGCTACGCGCGTTGCATGCACCGTTGGTTACGCTGGTCACCTGACGCAGAAGTATAAATCAGGCTTAACAATTTTGCCATCAAATATTTGAAATCTACTTGCAATGGTGGGCGGATTGAAACACACCATTTACCCACATGACATAAATACTTAACTATATAAGACAAACAAAACAGAATTTAATTATTTAACAATAATTTTATACTATTCAGGAACCCCACTGACAGGAACATTATGTTACTACAAAAAAAGTCAAGCTTTAAATGGTAAAATTATTCTTGAAGCAAAAATGTATATGTTTCGGGTCTCTCCGGAGCATTTGGGCTAATTGTTTGACAGTGTCTATCTAAATAAGGATGTTATAAAATATATTTTCAACAGAGTTATTAACAGAGAATTTCTGTGGTGTTATATTATGGATGGTGCGCTCCCTGCGCTGGCGAGACCACTCAATGTTCGATGCCAACAGTCGGTCGGTGAGTAAATGAACATGATGAATGAGAACACACAGGCCTGTGCGTATAGACATATAATGTAATGTCGTACAGTAACGTGTCATTTGTTTGTTTCGGTTGTCTTCGTCTCATTAGACGTTTTGGTTTAAATTGTTTAAACTTTCTAAAATATTTATCTCTTCAGGTTATATTTATCTCTTCAAGAAACAACAAAAAACTCTTTAACTATTTAGTCTAAAAACAGTTTAGTCTCCACTTTCCTTCCTTATCTGCAATTGACTCTCTGGTTCTACCGCTAACTGTATTACAAAAAAAATGTATAAAAATAAATTACTAATGTTTTGCTTCTTACACTTTACAGACCTGAAACTTGCCTACAGCAGTTATTCATTGTTGCTCTTATAGTTGTGTAAATTGCTTCCTTGTCCTCATTTGTAAGTCGCTTTGGATAAAAGTGTCTGCTAAATGACTAAATGTAAATGTAAAGTGTTAAACACGTCCCCTTAAATGGTATATAAGTGACCAAAAGTGTTTAAAGGGCCATGAAACCCCCTCGTTTCAGCAGGGTGTTTTCACACCTCTACTTTGGAAAAAGTCAGAAAAGTGGGCGTGTCCAGCTCTGTTTAGGGGGGAGTGTCGGAGGAACTAAAGTGGGAGGGTGTGGGAGTGTCTATTTGGGCGCGCTGAATTTCAGTCAAAATACACACATGAGAAAGTGATGGTGTTTAACCTACATGGACATCTGTAGTCGAATTATTTGCCAAATTATTAAATGTTGGACTTTAACTGCAGTTTGGCTCTTTCATTCAGGGAATTCATTCATGCCCCTCGCGACAAACGCGATATTTGATTCGAGGATCTGCTCCAAGCGTGTATTTTTCATGCAATGTTTGATACCGCACGGCGAATGAGAGAAAAAAAAACTCCGCAATTCCCGGAAACTTAGATGCACACGGCAGGTAGCGTCAGAAAGCCACGTGTGTTATTCCGGTCACAAAATGCGGTGCTAACAAGTTTGCACTCAGTGCAATAGTTAACTTAATTCGATACGAACAAACTGAATAAACAAAGAGCACTGGTCGCTCACTTACCAAATCTGTAGAGACAGGACAATCTCCAGCAACTAGAGCCGCGTCTTTATGAAGAGAAGACTAATGTTACAAGCGAATCCGGATTTCAGCGTTTGCAGATGAGAACAGCTCTCAGTTAAGCAATGTTCCTCCTTAGACATGTAAGTTATTGTTGTCGCGCGTCGCGTACACTGTTAATCCACACGTGAGTCTGAGCTCTCACAGAGAGAAAAGGAAAACGAAACTTAACTGCAGCAAACTATAAAAGCAACACTTCACGCTTGTTTTGCCAACACAACGTGGCGTCTCTGTGGTGTAAACAGTGACACTAATGAATATTAATGAAGTTGCACAATAGAGCGCGCTGATTGGTTTGAACCAAGCCTTACTCATGCATTAATGCAGCACACTGTGAGACGTAATAAGACTCACTCTGGCACAGACGCCCAGTCTGCACGCTGGAATACACGCTATTATGTCATGACCGTGACGCAGCTTCAAAAATTCGTTTCAAACAGGAAGTACGAATTTGCTTGAAATAACGCAAAAACAACCAATTTACACTTTTTAGTGAAATATAGGTGTCTTAATAGTGTTTTTAGCAGTGTGGGACACATATACGACTGTCAACAGCTCAAAAAATGTGTTTTGGTGTTTCGTGACCCTTTAAGGGTGAATCTGAAAAATGGCTCTGGTCATATAAAATCTCTAAACTGAAAATGTACATTCCAGGAGATTTTTTCATGGGATTTAAGCACATTGCGCACAGTACATTATTAATTATTGAATCACTATTAAATAAAATCAGAGAAGCTTTTTAGTGATTTGTGAAAAACAGCTGCTGACTGTAGAACACAAAACCTTTCTTAACCATCCACCAACCTGCTCCAGGGCAGTAATCTGGAAGCTGGGGATAGTAGGGTATGGCCTGGCTGAGGTGTGGAGTGCTCTAATGAAGACCTCAAGGCATCGAGGATCTTTGACCAGTAAAGGTGCCGACATCTCACTGAACTTGCTCAACAAGAGCTGCAGAAGAAGAGCCTCGTCTGGCAGGAAGGTGCAAGAGTCTGGAGCACACTGTTCAAGAAGGCGCTCCACAGCAGGAAGAAGAACAGACAAAACAGGCTGGAAAAAACAGAGCATTATCATAAAAATAAGAAACACACAAAATAAGCGTAGAGGACTAGTAACTACTCAAGCCATTCTCCGATGGGTTATGCTTAAAGTAATAGTTCACCCAAAAAGATTTTTTCTTGTGCGGAAGATTTGAAAAGTACTCATCTGAAGAGCTGAATTAAAGTTACAAGTGTAAAGTTCTAGTGCAAATTAACTCTTTCTTCTCAAGGTTGAGACTCAGTTATGACCAATAATTATATCTATCTGTCCGACCTGATGAGCAATCAATCGGTTATGCCTTGGAATGTAAACATTCGGGAAATTGCATGTCTGTAACTTTCTCACTGTGTTGTGTCATGAAAACATCTTATTACTGCTGTTTGTGTTTTTAATATTAATCAAAGAACAAAATATTATGAAATCACTTTGCTCTTGATTGAATAGCTGTATCAGGCTATAGACAAGGATCAGAGGGTGAAATTTAATACTTGAAGTCCCTTTTAAGACTATTTCCATAAGGTTACTTTAAGTTTTACTGGTGATAATTTAACTTATTGTATATTTACTAAATATTGATTGTAAAAAACATTACTCAATAACGAATAAAAATATTAATCCAGCAGGTGACGCCTATAGGAATAACTGGTTACTCTAGTAACTGTTAATTATAACTGTAACTGGTTAATTGGTTACTCTAGTAAATAAAGTAGTGTGATGTTTCTTAGCTTTTTCAGTAAGCACACAGCACCCCAATATTTGCAGATTAAATTCATTCAAACATTAGCAAACAACTAGAGATCGTATCAATAAAGGATACAAAATGTAATACCATGTAAAATAGCATGTAAGACCTTTAAAATACTTTAAGACCTAAATATCTCTAAACTGATTTAATACTTTTTAGGACCCAGCAGACACCCTGTATGTAGTTCAGTAATGGTTAACCATTATTTAATTTTCACTGTGAAGAAGATTTTGAGTGTTATTTGATTATTATATCAGTTCATGAAACTGAAAAATTCTCAGGGTTCCCACTCTTTCACAGACACCAGACTAAAAACCTTTTAAGGACTTTCTAAAATCACTAATAATTTTAAATCAAGCAGCTTTCTGTATTTGACACTTTAAATGTATAGTGTAGTATGTAAAAGTGTAGTTGAAATGTCATCGTAATGATGATGTTTTGAATGTGTCATTTTCAAAAATGTATACCTTTTTGTATCAAAAATGTATACCTTATGAAAAATGTATACCTTATGAAAAATGTATACCTTATGAGTCATGTTCAAAGAACTAATATACAGTTATATACAGTTAAAATGCAGTTTCTAAAATAGTGATTAAATGTGCATTATTTGTCACAGTTCGTGTACAAGATTTTTAGTTTTTTTTTATTCAGCTTTTGAAAGCAACACAGCATAATTGCTTAAAAAACACCATAAACCTTAAATTCAAGCCTTTTCAAGATCTTTTTGTTTTTTGTACTTTCCAGGCCTTGAATTCATATGTCTGAAACTTAAGCATTGTCAAGAAACGTGGGAACCCTGACCAGTGCTAGGTACATAAAAAACCTGAAAGCACTGTTTATTTCAGTATTATCTTTGTTATATTGTATTCATTTCGTTTAGCTTTTTTTCTTTGCTTTGTTTTTTTTACAGTGCTTTAACTGAACATTTCATATACCATACCGAAACTGTGACTTAAAACTGAAAACCGAACCATGAGACGTCTGTATTATTGCAACTACAACAAACAGCCTGATGATAGTACCTCTCCGTGAACATCCTGAAGAGCCCGCAGAAGTGTTTTGGAGGTGTAGGAAGGACAGAAGGGAGACTGTAAACACTGAAGGAGCTGCTCAACTGATGCCAACTTTTTATTCTTATCTTTCCGTGAAACGGCCTCCTCGTAGAACTTGGACAATGCCTACAATAAATTCAGAAGTCATTTGATTATGGAAATTACTGAGTGTATTACTGAGAGCAATAAAAACATTCAAGAGCCAGTTGTATTTAGTTTTGACTGACTTGGGTAAGATATGAGGAGTCAGCGATGATCTCCTCTGATGATTTGAGGAGTTTCTCCACAAGCGGATGATACGGTGAAGAAACAAGCCCAGAGAGACACTGGAGCACAGCGATGGCAGCTCTACGAACTTCACACACGCCTGAACATACACACACCAGCAGAGACGGCACCACTGCAAATATACAAACATAGAGAGAGATGCATGTTAGTCATGGTGGAGAACAAACTTTCTGTGGAGGATCCAATGAAATGAAAGTAAACAAAATTAAATGAAAAAAATACTAATTAAAAATAAAATTAATTATTCTGCAGGAATAAAAGTATATCAAAGTAAATCAAAAATTTAATTTATTATATTATTTTAAATTTACTGTATTCAATAAATGAAACTTTAATTAAAAATTGGACTGTAGTATTAACATTATTTAAAACATTAAACAATCATTTTAGCAAATCAAAGCCAGTTTTGTGTAAAATTATTTGATTCTGTCTGTCCGATGTATTTTAATACAGTTTTTGTGTGCCTGAGGTATTTTCAAAAATATTTTTAGATTTATATTCATGCTTCATGCATCATAAGTATCATTCACACAACACACAGAATAGATAACAATTGCATGTATTGTTTCAACTTATTATTTATTTTCTTAAATAAATAATATAAATAAAATAAATAAATTAATACTGAAAAAAAATACACAATTTAACTGCTCCTGGCTTAGCTATAAATGGAGAGTATTTTTTATTTATTTTTATTTAATAGATATTTTTTCCTTCTATTTTAAGTAAATTTTTTCAAATGATTTTTTTTTCTACTGCAGTACCTTTTGCATATTTGTTTATATATTTATCTGTATTGCTATAATGTCTAATTTGTTACTTTTATCTATAATGGTAATTATTTATATATATATTTGTGTTTTTATATTGATTTTATGGCAAAAATATGTTATTGCATTGCTTAACTCAGAGAAAGAAAATGTGAGCTAATTGTTTTCTGCTGCTAGATTTAGATTGAAGCAGTTGATGAGTTGTGATTCTTTGTATATGTTGCTTTGACTTCATGACTAATAACAATAAAAAACTAAAAAAAAAACTAAAGTTAAACTAAAAAAAGTAACTCTACATCATTACCTATAAATATAATCATAAGATTATTCAAAATGAAATATTTGATTGACTAAATAATCAATTACAAAACAATTGAAAGCTTTTGCAAATGCTATTTTCCAATATCCAGTGTAGTAATACAAATAAATACACAAAAAGCCACACGACTAACCGCAAGTGTAACTAAAGGTAAATGCTGATATACCTGGTGAGGAATCTGACGCCAGCAGGTTGAGGGTTTTTACAGGCTGGCTGGACAGAAAAGCCTTTCCCACATAAAGAGCCTGAGTCTGAAGAATGGCACTGACTCGACAATCCAACTGATCGCCTAAATTGCTGTTGTAGCCCCATAACAGAGACAGAAACTTAAACAGGACCATCGGCTCATTCAGGTGCACCTGTAAAGTAAAGAAACCAAATATATAAAAAAATGCTAAGATTCGTTAAAGTCGACAAATTAATAAAGAAGCACCCGAAATTACATGAGACTCCGGAGGGAATGTGGATATCGCTGTGACGCAATGACGTTGATCTAATTATGTGCTATAACATGTAAAACGCGATCATGAAAGAAACATTCAAAAAGCAACTCATGTAAACGCCTTAATGTTATTATTTTCCTAATTAGATAAAGGCAAAAAATTCCATTACTGATGTCCGTGTAAACGTAGTCACTGTCATTACCTGAGTCAAATATGGGCAAAAAAAATCCGATTCAGGCCACAATTGGCTGCAGTTTGAACGTAGCCTAACTGAAAAGTGTAAAAAGGGAATCTGGATCAAACACAGATTTGAATGCAGCACATTGAATGATTAATAAACATTTGCAAATCATTATCCTTAATAATTTATGCTGCGTGGGTGTTTGAATTGAGATCCTGAACTTTTAATGAGTAATTGTGAAGCTATACACCGGGTTCATACAGGCACAACTCGATGACTTTTAAGCACTTTTTCAAGCACTTATTTTTATTTTCAAGACTGACACACAACTTATTAATACAATTTTTTCAAATAAAAAACATTACTAATAGTATAATAATTATATTAATAATTGAGAATTTAATAAACATGTTTGTGAAATGTTTTTTTAATTTGTTGATGGTCTCGCAGGTGAAAAAGAGAACTGAACATTTGTTCTGTAGCAACTGGGAAGAAGTCCTTAAGGTTGACGAAACCCACGAGTAATTTTTTTGAGATTTTAACAGATTTGTGTGTGTTGAGCATCAGTTAAGACAATGTTAGCACCTGTTAGCTGTAATTATGGGGAAAACTGGATAGTTCTGTGCTTTTGTAAGCTAATTTCAGCTTCCGAGTTTAAAACGATTTTTGAGGGGGGATCAAAATCTGCGACGTAGCGCAGTACTGCAAGTGCAAAGATGACGCGTCAGTTTTTCATTATTATTCATAGTGGAGTTTTCTTATCCTATGAGATAGAGCTGGCTTCTTAATTATTCATGACTGCACGTGCTTTCCGAAGGCAAGACGTTGATGATGGTGTTAGACCGCGTCCACGGACCTACGGCACACAGTATCTAGCTGTTCATGAAGGGTCGTATGTTTTTGTTTCCATGATCCACGGGGTTTGTTGTATGTTTTTCCTGTGATGCTGTAAGGGCAGATACAGCAAAGCTGTGTGTGTGCAGCGAGCATTTTTGTCGGGAGAGCAGTACGAGACTTTAAGGGGGCTAAAGATTTTATTGACCTTAAAAATATAATAGGAAAACATAAAAATAATACATATAATATAATTAGACAAATTATAATACAATATACTGTGACACTTTCCATACTCTATGAAACATCACTTGGGAAATATTTAAACGATTTAATATGAGGGCTAATAGTTTTGCCTTGAACTGTATAAGGTTGAGGGAAAATAAATAATAAATGAGACTTTTCCATTTAAACTACAGTATCAATTAAGGTGTAGTTTGAAGTAATTTAGAGATGTTAAATATGCAGCTCTTCGTTAATCATTATGTGTTAAGAGAATCAATTACCTGTAATAGAGGCTGCATTAGGCTCCTGAAGCAGGGAGCCAAGGGCCCCTGACTGGCCCCTGATATCACCACATCAAACAGACGACAGAGGAGACGCAGGTAACAGCATGTAGTAGTCTCCATTTTCTCTGGGTTCCACCATGGCTCACCTGAAAACAATTTTATTACATAGTAATTACACGGTATATAACGATTCTCACAATCTTACGATTTGGTTCATTTCACAATTTTGATTTAAAGATTTATTTAACAAAACACATTATATTGAATGCAATGACAGTGTTCAACACTAAGGGCCCTATTATACACACGGCGCAATGTGGTGCAAGGCGCGGGGCAATAGTCTTTTGGTAGCATCAGCTTGGCGCAAGAGTCATTTTGAGGTGTTGCACCACGCTGTTTATATAGCAAATGCATTAGCGCTCATTTGTGCGCCCATAGGGAGTTCTGGTCTAAAAAGTAAGGCGTTCTGAGGCGCACTGCTGGCGCGTTGCTATTTTGAGAAACTAAAATAGATTTTTCATTAGACCAAAACTAACCCGGTCTAAACTCCGGCGCAGAGTTGCGCCTCGCTTACGCACTGCTTAATATGCACAAGAGAGCAATAGGCAAATATGTTTACATATGAAAAAATTTAAACGGATTTATATAAATTTTTTATATAAATTTTTTTTAATATAAATTTTACGGATATATATATATAGGATATAATAAAAATAGATATATGATGTAAATATAAAGGATTAAAATATTACAAAACATATTACAAAACAGTGCATTTCTCAGCACAACACCGGGACTGCAGTCAGATCATGAAGCAGCACAATGTTGATCTTTCTTTCAAGTTGTCAGTCCAGAAATGAACAAAACAACAGGTCTAACACAAAATATTATGAGATTAAGATATGGAAAAGGTATCAGATAATAATTTTGGTAAATTTCCTAATGGATAAACAGCACACAGTAATATTTCAGCATGGTTTTACTTTCGTATTTGACATGAAACACACATTTGCAGGTAAGAATGATGACATCCCACCTTACTCATCATTCTCTTTATATAGCTGTATATGTGGCTATTACACAATCAAAATACATGGTGATATAGCCTGGTTTGTTAGTTCGTTGGATTGTTCTACTTTCTCACTACAATAGATTCGGTCCAAAGTTCGTTTTAATTGAGCCGAGACCACCTCATTCAGCCGACCTCGGAACAATCGATTTGGCAGGATTCACATATGCTGAACGAACCGCGATAACTAGGCAACTAAGAGAGATTCTGAAACAAATGTCTAGATGTGAAAGCACCTGACTGTATTTGCATGCAATTGACAAACAAATTAAACTTTTTGGACAAGGCAGCACTGGCCCGATCAGGCCATTAACCATCCGGCCTACTGACCCTGCGCCATCGGGCAGTCCTTATTGTCGAGCCCTGAATGAGTTTAAAGGTACATTATATCATTGCATATGTGAGATTGGAAAAATGACAAATATTCAGAAAGAAATGAAAGGGATAATAAAGAATATACTTTGTGTTATTATGCCACTGTCACCTCTAATTATATATTTCATTTATACCTAAAGAAAAAAAAGATTAAAAAGACTGAATGTATATTCAAGCTAATTGGAAAAATCTGTTGTGAGGGGTATCCCGCATGGAGATCAGCATCACCCTGGCAACACAACTAGAACACCTGGAGATCATCATCAAGGGCCAATCAATCACCGCTGACATAAATCAAGCCACCCCATAAAAGAGAGGCTCAGAGACCCAAGAGGTGAGCCACGATTGCATTACGCTGATGCTTACTTGTTTCTCCGTTTTCCCCAGATTGTGACTGCTTGGCCCAAAGAGGACGCACTAGACACAGTGACCTGGAGAGGAAAAGAAAAAAGACACCCAACGCACCCGAGTACTTATAACCTCACTTACCGGTTTGTTTGCACTTCTTGTAAATTAATACACTCTTTGGGGCTTTACTCACAGTTCTGCCTTGTCGTGTGCTTCTTCACCAACTCTCAGTGGTGGAAAATGCAAACAAAGATCCCGGTGAAGAAGATACCCACAATTGTAGATAAACTATTCTTACTGTTTGTTTACCCCACCATCTTTGTTCATAGGCATGCTCCTCCGCAGGGAGAGATGGAGGAGATCCTGAAACAACTTACAGAAGACAGCATCCTCTAGCAGCAGTTCTACAGACGCTTTGCTGACCACCAGGGGAGGCCCGAACAAGAAATCGCCGCACTCAATGTCACTGTCGCTCAAAATATACCACTACCTGACCCAAAAGCACACGCAAGTAGGATACTGCCAAAAATGATTGCATATGATGATGTGGAAGCATACTTACAATTGAGGTTACAGGGACCACAGAAGGCAGGGAAAAGAACTCCTGGGAGAAAGTGATGGTGATCCTGTTGACTGGCAAAAGAGGGGCATATTTGTCTCTACCCACAGCGTCAGCAGACAATTATAAAGAGGTAAAAAATTTATTTTAGCCCGTATGGGTCTCTAACCTATTTGTGCTTTGCTGATGTTCTATGAGTGGGAATATAAACCCCTTCAGCCAGCCCTGAGCTCATGCAGGAGATTTGGTGAGGATCGTGCAACATTGGCTGTTGGATGTGTCACCAACTGTGAGTCAGCTAGCAGAGTGGGTGGTGATCAACCGGTTCCCGAGGGCTCTCCCACGTAACATGTAGCAGGCAGTCAGCATGAGAAAACCAATGATGGTCTCGGACCTAGTGGATGCCATCAAGCTGGCGGATGCGACTTACCAATGTGACACAGGGGAGAGAGTGCAGCCATTTTCTCAATGGGTGGTCCAGGAACGACGCATGCCAGAGGGCCCACAGTAACCAGTAGACAGGCACCGCCATTCCCCTGTGATGAGACCATGCCCATAGATCCATAATCTCCTCCACTCAGGAAGTGGTGGTAGGTTGCATCGTTAATCGGGAGGCACCCCGAGGAGCCCCAGAGTTAAACAGAGATTTACAGCAAGAGCCACCATGCACTTCTGGTGCACGAGAGAATTCTAAGCGACTGCATAACTTCATAATTATAACTCCCAATAATGTGTGCTCATGGTGATACTCACTGTGTGTCTACTCGCAGAGTGAACATCAGGATGGAAGTTGAGTCCACCTGGTCAGTGGAGTCAGGGTTTGTGAAAGACCTACCGGTTCCATGGTGTTGGGACGTGACAGGCCGGAACTAAAAAGATTGAAAAGCGATCTTAAAATTTACTATCTTAAAAGATTTACTGTACTCCCGGCAGCCCATTGGAGAGTGATCGAAAATGTGTGGGAGAGGAGGGAAAGGATCGACCAGGTCATGCCCTTAATCCGGGAGTATCTGCTGAAGGTCCAACAGTCTCAGCAACGGCACTACAACTGGCCGGCCAACGGGAGTTCCAGCCAGAAGACAATGTGATGGTCCTGGTCTCCAATGCAGCTTGTAAGTGAAATTGCAAGGCATTCTTACATCAATCAGTAAAACGTTGGAACTGCCAACTACCAAGTAAAGCAACCAGGAAGAAGATCTTCACATTTACCACAGGAATCTCTCAAAGAGGTGGGTAGGGAACCAGAACCATATGGGCGCCCTGGCACACCAAACCCATGGTGGTGGAGACTAAACCAGAGCCTACCATTACTCAGAAGACAGAGCTGGTCAGTTCCAGTATATGTTCCTCTGGTTTTGTAATGATTGCCAGTGCCTTAATGAAGTCTCGGATTTCGACGGCTATCCCATGCTCTAGGTGTACGAGCTTCTGGAGCACCTGGGAAGGTCCCAGTACATCACCGCACTTGACCTCTCAAAAGGTTACTGGCATATCCTCCTCTATGAAACTGAAAAACCCAAGACTGCTTTCTTTTCTCACAATGGATGATGGTCTCGTCCAACTTTAGAAAAAAAAAAGGCAGCCATTCAATGAGCACACAGACCGACTACAAACCTCCAGATACAAGCTTTCTTGGGGTTGGTGGGGTATTACCATTGTTTCATCCTCAGCTTTTCCTCTGTAGTTGCTCCTTAGACAGATCTGGCCAGGAAGGTGCAACCAATATACATAGATATTGATATATATATAGCAATATCTTGCAATAAAAAAACACTTTAAATTACACTGTGCTTAGTGAGCATAAGTGACTTCTTCAACAAACTTTAACAAGATTAAATACAAATGAAGAACAAAATGACTTTGCTAAATATTTTAACTATGTGAGTATTTCTACTTTTAATTCTTTTTATAATTTAGAGTCAAGTAATAGTGCAGAGATAAATAAGAAGCTCTGTACCTTTAAATGTAGAATCTGGACATTTGAGGGTCGTGATGAAAAGCCGCAGAAGAGAAAGCAGAAGAAGGCCTTGTTCTTGCTCTGCACTCAAACCACAGCTGATTTTCTGCAGAAACTCACCCAAAGCTACACAGACTGGCAGACACTCATCTGCGGGCTGATCAGACACCTAACAAGACAAAAGTGAACATTAATATAAGACTCACACTCAGTGTGTTGTTTTAATTATGTAGCAGACATCGTAGATAATATACTAGAAGTGTATGGGTGAAAACTAGTAATCAGCAGCAGTCAAAAGTGAAAGTAGAAAGTGGAAATATTAGCAGTTTTTATTGTTCATAATTCAATATGTCTAATCAATACAAATGAGCATTTCGGTTTTCTTGCTGAAACTCAAAATAAAACAAATCAATATTTTTATTTGCAATTGTTTATTAGTCAGTTTATTGTATATTTTCATATGTGACTAAACGTATATTATCATATGCGTCATGAGCCAAACTTACACTGTATTGGTCAAAATTATCTATTCTATTTACTATACCAAAAACTATTCGAATATTAAGTCAATATCATGATCTATGGCGACATTTTGTGTCTATTCTAAATATATCAAAAACATAATTATTATTAGTAATATGAATTTCTAAGAACTTCACTAAAAGTGATTTTCTCCATACTTTAACTGTGTTACACACTTTTGTCCTTTTCTAACAAAGCACACATCAGTGGAAAGCATATTTATTCTTTTTCAAATCATATATATAAATCTGAAAAAAAAAATTTTCAAAAATTGGCTCTTATGGTTTTGTGGTCCAGTGACACACAACAACAATAATGTGTTATAAGTGATATTAAAAAATCTATTTAGCTTTTATTAAACATGTTAATGTTTGGCATGCATTCAAAGTTTTAAACACTTAGTCTTAATTCTTTTATTGCCCGCTTCAAATATTGGTCTGATGAGGCCAATACTGATAACTGCTCAAATCTATATACATTCAGCCTTTGAAGTGGTCAGTTTGAAGGCGAAGCTCCTGAAACTTATGCTATCCTAACATGTTAGCTTGTTAGCAAGATGTGTTAATTAATAAGCTAGTTAACAGGTACAATCTGGTGACTGCCTTGCCTTAAACGCCTCATGAAAATTAACAGTATTGTTCATTTGCAGGATATCTATAAGCTAGTGTGCACAAAAATAGTGGCAAAATTTGATCTAAACATATAAAGCTGGTAGTTTGTCACTTATGCCTGTAATGAATCAATGGTCATTTTATACTTCAGTTTCTTATTAAATCTTGACCAATAAAATGCTCTCTAGTCAGGGTTCTTGCACCATTTTAAAAGTAAAATGTAGTGCACTTTAAAACCTTTTTGTCAGACCACAACAAATATAAATTTAAGAACCCAAAATCTTTAGAATTTCGTTGGAGAAGGCTACACATTTTATTGCTGCCTACAATGGAAATCAAAACTTGAAAATTTTCCATTTGGTATTAATTATGTGTAATGTGTAAACTCGGTAAGTAAAAAAAAAAGTAAAAATACTTTTCTTTGGAGACCTTTTTCTTTTCTTTTTTTTTGTTCCTTTGTGATGTAGAGCAGAGCCAACATAACATGGATAAGTTGAATTACACTAAACAACAGCTTGTTGTACATTGCTGCTTAGCGCTCTACCATAATGCGCAGTGTATGAGCGACCGCCGAAATACCTTGGCGGCTAGAATGACCGTTCTTACTGAACTGGCGGCTGGCCTGACCGCAGTCAAAATTCGCTCTTTTTGACTCCTCCTTCATCTTTTGTTGGATTTTAATGTTGTAACAAATGATTTGATTACTTTCTTGCGCTAATCGAAATGCAACATATGACTGTTCATTTACCATGCAAGCCTAAGCCCGGCCTGACCCAGTCTAAAATGATAGAAATTAAGCCCAAACCAAAGTCGGGTTCGAGCAAAGATCTTCAGCTCTAGTCTGAACTAGTAACATTGTTAGCTCGAGCTGCAAACAATGCAGGGATTAACTTGGACCCGCCAGGACTAGCTGGTAAAAAGTACCGCTAGTGCTTTTCTCCTTTCATGTGTGACTCGATGGATTTGAGCCACATGGTCCCTAACGAAAAGGTATTTTTGCCTCTTGTTATTTTCAGCCGGCACCAACCACCTCCTGAATGCATCCACTCCCATCCAATTGTTATTAAATTTACACTTTCCCATCTTTGTATTTTGAACCTCACCTCAACAACCGTGTAATGACAGCACGGAGATGCAGACCGACGTCAGCGTCTGTAGCCAACCTACCGTAATAAACTGTCATTCAGAGACTGCCATTCGATGTTGCCAGATGTAGCTGACTGATTCCAGCCCAAAAACTATCCCAAACCCGCCAAAATGCAAAAAAAAACCCTGCCCAGTCATCTGTAAGAATGAAAGGTGGGGTGATGGTTTGAGACGGTTGCGAACATCACGAAAAGTTTCTGTCATTTTACACCTGCACAATCGTGTTCAAAACTGTCCAATCTGGCAACAATGCTGTAATTTTTCACCTATTTCACACATACTAAATTGATCAACTATAAGATGTTTTACGGTGGACCACTGTGTTTCCATATCGTCATTAAGCAAACAGGCTGAAAATGTAATACCTATAGCGACTTTACGGTAAATTTAAGACAATTTAAGAGCTTAATTTCCCGAATTTTAATTTAAGGGTGCTTTCACACCTGTGAATCTATTCAGTTGTTCCGAAACAGAGATTACAAATGTTACACTGTTGCTCTTTGTTCTTGGAGCGGTTCGCTTTCACACTGCAAAGTTTCTAATCGGACCAAAAGAGCTAAAACAATTCACGTGTGAGTAAACTGGCCTCACATTGGTCAGAGTGTCAGGGTTTATTTTGCAGAGTCCCGCTCAGTTGTCAGGAGAGGTGGTGGTTTGATAAAGTGCGCGCGACGTGTCTGAAGAGTGAGGAGAGATGCAATGGGGACGGGTGAGAAGGGTGCGCGACGTAGCCTATTTGAGGACCGGGAGGGAGACGTGAGATTACCGGGAGATTATCACTCATTTGCGGGCATCCGGAGACTCGCGAAACTTCCCGCCATACTCATAATTCTCTCTTCATATAGCCGTATGCCTATTACATATCCATAAAACACAGTGATATAACCAAGCTCAGATCGTATCGCTTTCTCACTGCAATCGATCCGCTCCAGGGTTCGTTTCAATCGAGACGAGACCACCTCATTCAAGCGAACTCAGAACGAGTATTTGGCGCGGATCCTAGCGCAATTGGTGGTTTCACATATGCCAAACGAACCGCGCAAACTAGGCAAACGAGACAGGTTCCGAAACAAAAGTCTAGGTGTGAAAGCACCATAAGACATTAAGACTTTTTAAGGACCCGCGGGAACTCATGTTATCCACCTTTAAGATGCTTTACATTTAATGCGCTTGAGCTCAACCACTCACACTGGCAGAGCTGTGATAAAAATAAAATGTTATTGGCTGTTTTTTAAAGAGGGGAGGAGCTGGACCCTCTCATGTTTTGATCAAATATTAAATTAAAATGCACATTTCAAAGCATTTCACTTCCTTTGCCAGTAAATGAATGTAAAAGAAATAAAATGGAGCTGAAAAACTGCCAAAGCAAAACAACAGAGGTGAAACGATGTAAAAAAAAAATATGGTTTCAAAAAAAAAAAAAACATTTTCGATAAATGGATACTAACATTTAAAGTGACATACAAAAATTCCTATTCCACAACAACAACCATTACAACTCCATGACTTTCAATGTCTGGTACACACTTTTTAACATTGCACAATATTCCAGATCCGTGAGAACTCTTTAATATATGAACAACTCAAATATCACAGGCCAAAATTTGGTTACTCTTTATTTTATGGTTTTGTAGTTACAGTGTAACAATTTATTTACCTACTGATTACTATTAATTAATCACATTTACTTACTATATGATTGGGGTTAAAATGTGGGTAATGTTTAGTGTTAGTTACATGCAATTCTGCATAATTCATTGTAGTTACTATAGTAAGTGCATGGAACATTGGTAAATAGGTAACATTAAATTAAAGTTTTATCCAAAATTATCTAAAAATTGGTACTGGCCAGTATTGTGTATTTTAAAGTTGTATGTCTTTTCATTTGCACTCTGACCTGTTCAGGCTGGATGGTGTATGCCTGCAGCAGTAAAGGCTCCAGTAGTTTATACACACTCTGTGCGGTGTGGAGGTGCTGGCTCTCCGTCATGGACTGCAGACTCTGAAGCAGAGCAGAACTAAACACCACAAACGCTGCTCTGTCCCGCACACTACTGCCCTGACGGCTCAGGATATCACACACGTTCTCCAGCTGTAAGACACATACAAAACACTGAGACTGAGCAAAGATAACGCTGACTCTAGATTTAAAAAGCATTTTTGTATAGACAGTATTATTTAGGTTTAGGGATACTGATTCAGAAGTCCTACGAATATATTGATACAGATCTAATATGAGTGCTACTGATGTTTAATGATACGTGGACACTCAGATGCATGGGCATAATATTGAACCGTTCGGTAATGGTGGGCAAAGTGAGGTTTCATAAAACACTGAAACATTCGTAGCTTCAAAACGTTTTGAAACCCGTCTCTACAGTGACACCTAGTGGCTTCAGAAAAAGAAATAGTTAAGAAAATTGAGGTATTAAAACCTACATTGTAGAACTAAGGTTTCAAGTGATTTAGGCTGCATTTACACTGCAGATCTTGATGGCCAATTCCGATTTTGTGACTGTATCTGATTTTTTGATGACCTGCTCACATCATCTATTAAAAGTGACTCGTATCTGATTGTCTGCATTTACACAGCACATGGCAAAGGTGCATTGACCAGGGGAAAAAAAAGAGTGGGCGCTGACTAACAGCTGACAATTAAAGAGTTCCCTTTTCTCCTTTAATCTGTTTTCTGGATTTCATTTTCTTTTAATTCTTTTTGACAAGCTGTTTTACTATAGTTTATGACAGAAAAGTTCTCATTTGGCCATTTTCTTTTAATCTAGGCCTTTTAGGCGTCTTAATGTCAAGTCCATGGCGTGATTTATGTATGTGATGTATGCAACAGGTTTATGTTCTGTTCGGTGGTGGATATTGCACGCTTTTTCTCGCTCTCGTTAACATGCTCAAATAATTGTACTACATGACAATATAAAAGCGAATTTAGACCTCGTGTATGAGATTTAAGATTTGCGACTCTGCTGAAGTCTCAGCATCAGACTTAATGTCATTGGCTATGGTTTTTAATGACGCGTGACTCGCATTGACAGGTCCGATCTACCTGCTTACACTGCAGACATGAGGGCACGGATCTGATTTTTTCCGATTGAGTAAATCGGAATCTATATGATTTTGTCCTGTTTAAGCGTACATAGGCCATATTCCGATCTGTGCCACATTAGAGGGGAAAAAAAATCTGAATTGTCACTTGAACCATGCAGTGTAAATGCAGCCTTAGTGAAACGGTGAGAGTTCCAGACTATCATGCAGAGATAAAGGGTTCGAACCCAGGGTGATGCAGCTATGGATGCTTTTAAATGCTCTGTTGAACGTGTTTAGTTTTAACATTGACATCTGAATAAACACTTTGTGAATTTTTATGTCTTGTTTTGGTCATGAAAAGTAGCATTATTAAATGACATCAAGTCATAATTTAAGAGTTTTTATTTGTACAAGTCGGGATTCGAACTCGGACCACTTGCAGCACAATAACTCCGGGCACACCACTAGGCAACATGGGATAGAGGTTTTCTCCGAGTATGTCAGTCAAACTCAGATTCACCTGGTTTCAAAACGCTTCTGAAATGACCGATCCAAATTGCTTTAGTATTGTGACATGGTGTGTTGAAACACTTGCTCTTCAGGATCTCAACACTTTGTCAAAACGTCAGTTTCACGTCAGCTATCCCTACCATTCGGTACAACCTCCACAGTTCAATAAGCATTAGGATACTGGCTGCGTCCGAAAACACCTACTACTCAGTAGATACTGCATTTGAATGTAAACGTACTACTCGGCGTTAGAAAAGTATGTTCTATACAGTATGAATGTGAAAAGTATGAATGGAATTCAGACGTACTACATCCGCCGTTTTGTCATGGTCACGTGACCGACCTGCGTCAGTTGCATCGCTTTACTCCCATTCATGAATTCTCTTGCGGGGCATCATGGGATTACGCAGCGTGCAGGAGATACACACTTCAGAATCTCGCCGGAAAGTCATCCGGGTACTTCTCGCATACTGTTTATCGAGCTCTATGAATTCAGACACACTACTCGGCTCGCATACTGATTTTAGCGTAATGTATAGTATGGAAGTATGCGGTTTCGGACGCAGCCACTGTGTTTTTTTTGGTTCCCCAAATGGTGTGACGTAACATGAAAACTATCAATTAACAATACTGGCAACAGTCAATGGACAAAAGAAACAATCTAAAGAAAATCTAAAGAAACGAGGCTGATATAACAAGGGGAAAAGAAAGAATTAAAATGACAAGAGAGACCTTCTTTTTGAGCTTGAACCAGAGAATTTTACACTTACAGTGTTGCGTTTGGTTGCGTGATCCATGTTAGCCAAGTTCTTGATCAGAGTTGTTGTGAGCATTTCGTTCGCCACACCAAGCAGATCCGACTCAGAGGTTTTAGCCAGAACAGCCTTCAGCACTATGAATAAAGAAACTCGTGTTTAGACAATAAAGATTTCATTCAAATTTACCTACTTGCTCTTCTTCTTAAACAATGTTCTGTTCTTAATTTAGTTGGGGTGTCAAAATTCATTGTTTCTTCGGTGCACCGCAATGCAAACGCAGACAATTCGGTATCGGTTCAGTAATAATTATAATCGGTTATTGTGTATGGACGACATTTATCTCATATGCGCTTTGTCGGCGTAGCTTACTATGGCGAGGAAGGCAAGCATGAGTGTTCACAACGCTCCAACTACTTAAAAACGCAGAATCTGTGCACAATTTCACTGTGTGTGTTTGCTGGATCAGTCTTTCACTGACACTTACAGCAGAAGTCCCTATTTCACTGCGATTGAGAGAATGAAAGTACTCCATTTCTTTCTTTCTTTCTCTCTCTCTCTCTCTCTCTATCTCTCTCTCTCTCTCTCTCTCTGGGTGTAAATCAGTGTATCTGTCATGCTGACTCTGAAAATGTTCTAAATATTTATTTGTAAGTATCAGCAAAAAAAGAAAAAAAAAAGTTTTTTAGTTTTTTTTAAGATGTCATGTACATTTTAATTAGTTAAATTGTTTTTAGCAAAAATATTTTTTGTAATAAAGAGACCTTAAAAGTCAAAAGTCTCTTTCTCTCTCTCTCACTCTCACTCACTGTGGGCCCATTTGACCTGCTGGCGTGACTTTTCCTTTTCTCTTGGCTGTTTTACAGTGATACTGCTGGATACAGACACGAGCGCGTGCCTGCAGGGTTTTCTCCACTGTCTTTATCATGGATCAGCTGTGAGATCGCCGCTGCCGCCTGCCGCTTTTCATGATCACTCATCTGTGAAAAGCGCAGCACGCAAGAGCCAATCGCAGCCGTTTTAGTTGAGGGTGTGACCAATCAAAGGGGTGTAAGAGAATTTGGTAGACAAGGATCAGAAAGCGAGCGAGATATTTATATTTGTTTATATTAATCGCTATAAATGCTCGTGTTGTATATCTGACTTTTTGTATTAAATGACAAAATTTCATTCAGATAGTATATAAATATATTCATACATTTTAATACAGGAATTCTGCTGTAAAATATATATATATATATATATATATACATATATATATATATATATATATAACTGTGTATGGAAAGCATCGCCAATGCACGGTGATACACCGAGATATCGAATTGAACCTAATCGATGGCATGATAATCGTAACCGAACCGAACCGTGAGACCAGTGTAGGTTCACAGCTCCATAATTTAGCATTAACATGAAAAATACATTTGATGGCGAAGCGCAAGAACTATTTAAAGTAGCATATTCACAAGTGTGCTGCGCCAGCTTTTCTAAATAAACAACCATATTTAGCTATGATTTATGTCTGCATTGCATGTATATATTGTTGTAGCCTATTTATTTATTTGTTTGTTTATTTAAAAAAAGATTGTTATTGCCTGTACTGTAAGAAGGTCTATGTATTGCACATTGTTCATAACTGTTCTTCAGTTTTTAAATAATAACAATAAGACAAAGCAAAAAGCAAGAAAATCCTTTTTGCATTGTGATTATTGAATTCCTGCTTCTGAATACTGTTAGACTACCCAGAAAAGTGTCAAATAGAGCTATTCAAACCTTCTGCTAAACAAACTGCTTTCATATCGCAATATTTCTCGAAGAGTCATAAAATATTGCAATATCAGAGTTTTTCCAATATCCTGCAGCCCTACTTTTATAGTGAGTCTATATCGTCTGATTCAAATATTGACCTAATTAGCACAATATCAATATCTGTTCTAATCTATTGAAAACATCAATTTGGTGTTCCCCACTTTAGTTCATTAGGCCAATTGTTTGATCATTTGTGAGGTTGGATAGTGTCGATTTTACTGTGAACAGCAGGAGTGTTTACCTTTGGCCCAGCCCTGGGTCAGAGGATGCTGGGAGATCAGAGTGGTTTCAGTAATGGCAGACGTCATCTGCAGCTCCACACATTCAGGTGCAGCTCTCGTCATCACCAGGAAGGGTAAAAGCTCCCAACTAATGTAAGCCTTAAGATCTGGGTTACCCTCAATAATGCGTGGGTCATCAAGAACGCGCACAGCCTCTTTTAGCACTGGACACCTGCAGAAAATAAGCCCAGACGAAGCCTGATTAAAGCCAATCTAGAGCATCTTTCTAAGTAAGGGAAAAATTATATTTTTAGTGATGTAAAGATTTGATCAAATGATTAACAAAAGTGATGTACTGATAAAACTCGACAAAAATAATGTGCATTATGTTTGTATGCATTTTGGACATTCCCACACCCCTCCACCTTTCAGAATAAATAGACATTTGTAGAAATCAATCAAACAAACAAAAGAAGTATCCAGACATTTTTTTAAATGAATATCTGATAGACTGCTTCTCAACCACGTTCCTGGAGGACCACCAGTTTTACACATTTTTTCTGGTTCTCTAACCAAACACGACTGATTCAGATAATCAGCTCATTAGCAGAGACTGAAAGGCCTGTAATGGGTTTGACAAAGGAAACATCCAAGACGTGCAGTGTTGGTGTTCCTACAGGAATGTGGTTGAGAAAAACTGGATATAATATTTGCACATCTTTACTAGTACTTTTTATTTTTACAGATTGGTCAAGTACAACATTTTAAGGTATGTTATTTTAGGGAGAAAGTATATCCAGGTGGTTGTTACCAAAGAATAAAGGCCAAAAGGTTTAATGGTAGCCTAATATAAAACTGAAGGGGGTTTATACTGCAAAAAATATCAACCTGGATGTACTTTCTCCAGCTTATTACACGGCTTCTTGCAACAAAATTGACAAAACATTGTTCTGAGATCTACAGTAATAGTTTATTATTTTTAAATTAAAGGTTAAGCTGACAAAAACGAAAACGGCTGAATGGAGCATAGCCTAACCTAGGCATTCAGTCACAAGCACATACATCACAGACAAGCATATATATATATATATATATATATATATATATATATATATATATATATATATATATATATGGGCATCACAGGGATTTCCAGTCAATTGATTAATTTGGAAAACCTGAATTTGAGGATTATATAAAATCAGTCAACCAACCAATCGGCTGATGGTTTGATGCGATGAAGAAGTGAAATCAAACTGGAAACGGTGTCCTCTACATCCATTAGGCCCATGTGATGCTATCAGAGAACCAAAAACAGACATTTAACATTTGAATTGAAAAAAGTAACTCATCAAAATGCATAACATTCATGATATCGTCATCTCACCTGCAAGGCTTTAAGCGCAGACAGCACAACTTCTGGAGAATCGTCTTTTATTCTTTCCAGCAAAGCATCTTTGAGAAACGCCTCATCAAAGCTATTCTGCTTCATAACACATATCACAACACACACAGACAGACAAACAGCATCTCATTACCTCAATGAATCTGGTTTCTTGGATGTTCCATCAAATTAGATGGAACACAAGATCATGTTTTTGGGCATTTGAGGATACTACATCAAAAAAAGTTGATTCCAACAAAAAGACATGCATGTAAACTATGATAAAACCCATTTAATAATTTCCTTGATGTGCATCAAAAATTGTGATTTAGCCTTAACAGACGATCACAAGACAACATAACAGAGTTTGCCAAGTTTTGAAAATCTAAAATAACAATTCCAGTGACTTGCGACCCCCACTAATCTCAGAGGTGGTTGTAAACAAACACACAAACAAACATTGCAAACAACAGCTCACACACACCAATAAGAACTATGAAAACACAAGCATATTGATTACACACACAAAAAAGTGTCTACTGATTGTCAGATATTCATTTCGAATTGTGGTTCAACGTAAGCATTATAACCAGAATGAAACTGACCTGGACAAATCTGAAGGGTACCAATATAATTTGTACACGACCATATCATCTTTTATAGTCATTATTCATTCAATTTAATATTAACCTCACATAATAGGGCAGTTGGACACAAAGTTTAGAGCACAACATTATTCTTCGCTTAATTATGGAGACCTCGACTTGGAGATCATCCTCCATGTTCGGTCGTGGCCTTTATTTTTAAAGTATGAGTGTCGCAAAGGTGTCAAAGTTAAACATTGCATCATAAAATAAATCTGCTGCAACTAATCCTATTGCTGTACAGTGTTTCCTCTAGGATTTTTTCCAGCTGTGGTGGCAGGCCTGTTTTACACAGATCTACCAATTACCTGTGGCGTTATTTCAATGACAAATGTCGTGAGCGCAGTGTTACAAGTCGATATCGCATTTATGTCATAGCCTAAAGCATGCTGATCTCTTTGCTTGCGTGCCGATTTCCAAAACTTCTTGCACACCCCCTCAACCGCAGATCTTCTTGTGCGCTCTCAAATAAACGCTGCTGAAGTGCGATTTAGTGCGCTTATGTAAAGAGTATGTCTCCAACATTTTTAAGATTTGCTAGGAATATTTAAGAATGTCTCCAATAAATCTACAGAGCGGTATTAATGTGTCCTGAAGTAAAGTGAAACGGCTATACGTGGTGTTTGCTGGCCTCACGCATCAGTCAGTCAGTCTGTCAGCATGTAATCATAAAGAGTTAAACAAATAAGGCACAGCACTACTACGATCAGTTTCAGAAAAGTTTGCGCTGTTATAATTTTTCTTACATTTTAATACTTTTTGGTGCGATTATCACTCGCTATTAGGAAAAAAAAACATGACTGAATGTCTGAATGAGAAGTTGTAATGTAGCCGTGGCGGGATCAATTTTGCCGTGGTGCACCGCAATGGAAGAATGAATGTAGCAGAAACCTTGCTGTATTGTAAATAATAACCCAAGGAGTCGCAATCCAATGGAAAAAAAAAATTGAGAGGCTGATGGTTTTTTATTTGCATGTTTTTTTTAATGTAACTATTAAATACTATTTTTATCTTCTGTAGGCTGTGAATAAAATATGGTAGTTCTAATAGTTTATTAACATATATCATATTTTTGGAAATCCCCAAGACCCCCACCCTATTGTCCTGCAACCCCTACTCTGGGAACCACTGCTAAAGAACATATAGGATTTTTATTTATTATTATTTTTTTTTTACAATTTACAAATATTTAGTGCAATACTTAACTTTATATTTAATATTGCCCTTAAAGTAACTTTGTAGCTTTAGATGGAAACATAACAAACATTATGTTACAAACAAGCTCACATTATTCTCACATTTAAAGGGAGTATAAAAGATACACACATGTTCTGAGTTGAGGATCTCTTTCAGGTAGTCTACGGCCATGTTTCTCACAGAGGGAAGAGGGTGATTGAGGCTGAGCATCAGAGAGGTCTCGGACTCCGGCAGAATCTGCATTCATACAACAATCAGGTCTTGTTTTTATAAAAGGGCATTTAAATGACTAAAACCATGTCATTTTAAAACAGAAATAACATATTCCTTATGCCTTCCTGTTATTGAGTACCGTACTCGCTCTCACTTCAATCATTCTATTTCATTCATATTCAGATCACAAATCAAGATTTTTTGATGAAATCTGAGAGCTTCTTCATCCTCCATACACAGCAATAGTCCCGAGATGTTTAAAGTCCAGAAAAGGGACCAAAAACATGACTTGAGTGGTTTAACTAGTGCAGCAAAAAAAATAAATAAATAAATACATTTAAAACCATAAAATAAAAATATTAAAAATAAAATGTAAAAACAGCTTTGTTTGCCAATGTCCTATGTCAGGCCACTGTGTGCATTTACAACAGGCTGTACGAAGGTTAATTTATACTTGATGCATCTGTATTCTGTAAGGTCATGCAGCGAATGTAATGTCATGGTAGTGTAGGTGGAAGTTCGCTTTAGGCGGTTAGACATCATTTTAACTGGTGGTGTGCATAAAATGTTTTGCAACTTTGCACAGCTCTGCATCCAACAATGCACAACTTTTTGACAACACCTATAGCAATCCAAAACAAATTCATACTGTGATGTGCGTTGACATACACCACAAAAATGATAAACGAGTGAAAGTGAGTCCAGCTACTTTACATTATAAGACATAACAGTTCACATTAAGTACACAGTTAGCTTGGATATATAAAATATAGCCTAAATTGCTGAATTACACAATTGTACTAAAAGCAAACATCATCATGAGTGTCCTTCACATTTATCCACATCCTATTCACATTCGATATATAATTAAATTCACTCTATCAGCATCTTCACTTGCAGACTGTGTGTGCAGTCAGCAGAGGATCTTGCTGCGGAGGCAGACTAAAGTATGATTCAGGCTTAGCGTATTGCCTTTAGGGTCAGCAGTGCATCGCAAAATCCCATTGCCTGTAATAAACACACCTACAGATTTGATGCGAAAGACAGGCAAACAAAATCAATTTTACAGCTTTTTTTGCTGCACAAAAGCATTTTTGGAGCTTTTTGTGTTTACAGTTGAACTACTGAAGTCACATGTAACATAGACAGTTTTTGATTCCTTTTCTAAACTGTTTTTGGTGAATGAGAGAGCTCCAGGATTGCATCTAAAATATATAAATTTGTTGAAAAATTAACCAAATTTGTGTGTCAACAAACTCTTTAATTATATTCTGCATAATTTCTAAAAGTGAGCATCAAACTTGATAATTGTTATGCCTTTTTTTTTTGCATTTAAAAGGCTTAACTGTACAAAACAATTTATTATTATGCTGTGTTGACACCAGACGCGGAACGGCCGGATAAATCGCGCTATTCACACATAAATAGACGTGTGGATATTTTGAGTTTATTTGCTTCTTTCGCGCGTCAAATTCACTGAGCAATTCACATCATGGGCAGGGCTTCTATCTGCCCATTGAATATAGCTTCATTGCTAAATGGCTAACATGGATTTCATTGAGAAAATGACTGTTTATGTGCTTTATGAAGGCTAAAAAACTGCGTTGATTCATTTGGAGCACTTTCCAAGTCCACTAGATCCTTTCAGAGGTGCATCCAGCTCTATGAGTTCATCAACTCCTCCGGAAACTTAACCTGGATGATGGAAGCTTTCAGCGGTGAGCCGAGCCCAGTTTGATCAATGTTTGCCTGGTGTCAGCTGGACTATTTTCCCTTGGGACACCAACAACAGGCGCTGTCATAAGCATGTCCCCACAAGAGCAAGCTCCTGATTGGTTAACGTCGGGTGCATGTCCGCTGAAGTTCAGATTTTTGAACTTAAGCGATTCGTGCGAAACGCGTGTCAATCGCACAAAACGCTCAACTCGCACTGCTTCATTTGCGCGAATCACATCTTTCAGGCTGCCTCATTCGCGCGTATCGCACCACAGAATGTTTATTCGCATCTTTGCATTGACTTAACATGTAAATCACTCAAGCTTGACGCTTCTTCTACAACTGGTATGAACGCAGCATCATTAAAACAAGATCAGCAATACCTGATATTTCCCACAGCTCAGAGTGAGAGAGATGAACTGATGAAGCAGGTTTTTTTCATTATCGGATGACACATTTTTGACATGATTTTCCAATGCCATATCCAGTGCACATGGATACCTATTAGTAAAGAACACACAAAGGTAAACACCAGAAACAAAACACTGCCCATGACTTGACTGTACTACAGCACAACAAGCGCAAAACTGAACAGACCTGGATTCAAACAGTCGTACTGTAGGCTGAATTC